CTTGCTCCTACCACTTTACCCTCCAAGTTCCCAGGGAGGGCACTGAACCAGGTCAGAGTTCTTGATCCATGGCAAGCCAAACCAGATCCTTCCCTCCCTTAGCACAGCAATGATATCAGAAGTAGCCAGAACCAAATAAGCCAAAAATAATACTAATAAATAATTACAAAGATAACCCAAAACAGTGGTGAAGATTAATACTGGTATCCTCAATTTCCTGTTGCTCTGTTCTGCTGACTGGTATTTGCTGCAGTAAGAACAGGAACCCAGAAGATGATGCTGACCAAGTTCAGCTACAGTACTTTGAGCAGGAGTGAAGTGACACAAAGCATGTTTTTAAGATTTCTCATTATAGCAACAGAAATGAAATAAGATTGACTCACTTCTACAGTATCTTGAAGCTTGTACCTTACTTTTTAGCAGCAAACACTCTAGTAAAACACTGAACACATCTCCAACAGAGCAAGACTTCCTGTCTTTGAACAAGAAAATCACACACAAATCCAAAGAAAGCTTTATCTCAGTTTGTTGGATGACCAGCAGCAACACTCTGCATAAGAAACACTTAATTCATCCCTTCTTGTGACTCATGATTATTCAACTTAGTTCTTCATGTCCCTTTCAGTTAAAAGGTCTACTAAGAAAAATTGCACTGTGCATGACCCTAAAAGTTCACAAATGGTTGCTAAAACTTTTAAACCCACCCAGCAAGGAGGCCTGCTTTCTGGCACGTCAACATAAGTGATGCAACATATGCTGGTGAAAAGGTGTGTGCAACAGCCTCACTGCTGAGCACCGGCACTATCTCCAGACTTCTCATCATAAGCTTCCTATGGATTCTCCATTTTTTAACATCACACACAATTTCTCTCTCCTCTATCTGAACTGAGCATTGAAACAATGGTTCTTTTGTTTTCTTTCTCTCTTATCTCATTCTAAGTAAATTCTAAGATGCATTTTCAGATCACCAGTCCTCTGTGGAATCAGGTGAAGTGTTGAGGAGAATGTTTTGCTACAGTGCTGAGGTGCAGTTTTTAGGCTTTTCACCACATAAGTCTATAGGGTTATTGCTGTTGCTGCTGTAGAGACAGAAGGGTGAAACAGTCTTACTGTTGCCATCAGTCTTGCAGATGGAGGAAATGTATTTCTGCATCTTAGAGACAAATTTGGAATGTGTGCCTCTCAGGGCACGTATTCAGGTACTGTGTCTGAGACCTTACACTATAACTGTTTTCCCAAAAATGTGTTTTCCTAAATGTAATGAAAACATTTAAACATTTCTTTGCTGCCTTTTTTTTCTGTAAAAGCAAAGAGCTTTTACAGGCAGTGTTTGGTTAAACTCCTGAATAAAAGCATTTGCTCTGAATGTGGAGTTTTCTGTATTTCCAGATTGTCCTGCTGTTTACTTTTCTCCCTTTCCTGAATCAGCTCTGCCCTTACCAACCCTGAGAAATGCTGGCACTTGTACATGGGTGAGATCTTTGCCTTCACTCTGGCTACCACCAGGAGTAATTCATCACCTCCTCTGCTGGCAGGTGATGGCTGCTGTGCTAAGGGGTCTACCAGGATGGGAGGACAGATTGGCAGCAGGACATTATTGTCAGTAAAAAGGTCCCATCATATAGTCTGAAGTGGCCTCTGGCAAAAAGACACCAAAGGGGTCTATTTGGTTCTGTATGGCTAAATATAAGGTAATGTATTTAAAGAAAATTACCTGAACATGGTCTGCCAAGGGCTGAACTGGAACCTCACAGCTGCATTGCAGGGCAGATCCCATGGTGTTAGTGGCTGTATCGGGAGACACAGGCTCTGTGCTGGGGCAGCTGGAGAAGCCACAAAATGCTGTGCATTGCCAGGACAAGACAAACAGTTGTTCTGCTGATGTTAACTGCCAGTGCACTTGTGTCTTGAGTGCTGCATAGAGGTGCAGTCACTGCATCACAGGATGGGTTTAGGGGAGTTAGGGCAGGCCCAGAGAGGCTGGGAGTGGGTTGCATAAGGGAACAGAGAGGCACCGATGAAGTTTACAGAGGCACGAGGTGGCAGAAAAGCTGAATTAAGAACACACACCAAAACTCACAGCACAGGAAAAGGTAGAACTTGTACAACTGTGAAAATTTAGTTAGTTAAATTTAGTCAATTTCCAATGGGTTCTAACAAGCATGTTCTGTGGCAGGTGAGAAACCTCGAGACGTTATGGCCACAAGGGGCTGCGGGGAGTGTGTCCGTGGGCCGAAGGGGAGCGGCTCACACGCCAACAGCTGCTGAACCGTGCGCAGGTGCCGGAAGACCGCGCACCTGCGCCGGGGAGCTGAGCACCTTCAGACGGGGCAAGGCCTAGCCCGGTCGGAGCTTCCACCACCTCAGAGCAGCGCCGGCGGGGCGGAGGCGAGCGGACGAGACGGAGCTCACCGCGCCGGCGGTACCCCGGGGCGGCCCGGCCCGGCCCCCCGTCCCCAGCGCCCGCGGAGCGGGGCCGCGCCGGGCCATGGCGGAGCGGGGCTGCCCCCGTGCCGCGCAGGGGGGACGCGCCGGGGCGGGCAGGCGGTGAGGGCAGCGGGCGGTGAGGGCAGCGGGCGGTGAGGGCAGCGGGCGGTGAGGGCAGCGGGCGGGCAGCCGCGAGGGTCCGGGTCGGTGCCGGGGCTGAGCGGACCGGACTGGCGGCGGCGAGGGGCCTGGACGGGTCACTGCCATCCCTGCCATCATCTCTCCTTAGCACCGTACCCGCACCAGAGGCAGAGGGGCCGCGGGGAAGCCGCACCGTGCCGGGGTCGCTGGAGCGCCGCCGCTGCCTGTACCTGCGCACGGGCCGGGGTGAGCGCGGCCCGCGGGAGCCGCTCCCTCCGTCCTGCGGAGCGCAGCGTCTGGCCCGGCTCCCCCCCGGGCGCTCCTCTGTGGCCGCAGACTCACCTCGGGCTCCCCTCCAGCCTGCTGCCAGATGGTGGAGGTCCTGCTCGCCGCCCTGATCCTGGTCTGCAGCTCCGTGTCCTGTGGCTCGGCGGGAGGATACACCGGCCTCCCCGCCCTGGGGGGCATCTACTACTACCAGTACGGCGGGGCCTACAGCGGCTTCAGCGGAGCGGATGGGGAGCGAGCCCAGCAGCTTGACCAGCGTTTCTACCTACTGAAGCTACCCATTGCGAGGGCAGCGATGGTCGTGGCAGGATGTCTCCTGGTCTTCCCTTGTGTTCTAATTTTGGTTGGTGTTCTGCAGGTCCCGTGGCACTTCCCAGCATGGCTGCTAATTGAATGCATCTTGTACATAGTGATTGCAGTTGGCACAGTGCCTGCTCTGTACTATTTCCTCCATTCTCTGCTGAGCGTTTATAATTCATCAGTGTGCAAAGAGAGAGAGAAGCTTTATCAAAGCAAAGGCTATCAGGGCTTCTGGTGCAGCTTGCATGGGGCAGAGATTGCTGCTGGTCTATTGGGCTGCATGGCTGCCATGGCATACCTGCTCAGTGCAGGCCTAGCTGTCAGAGATTATAGGACAGTTCATGAACAGAAACAGAAGCCACTGCAATTATAAAAACTTTCAAATGATTCCTCCACTCCAGTAATGGTCTTGATTTTTGCCAGTCTCCTTTCTGAGATGAAGCAGTATGCTTTCCTTTCTTCTGGACAGTACAGCCTTAATGCTACAGAACATCCACCAAGCTGGCATAGTTCTAAATATGGTAGAGTCAGGTTATTCCTAACTTGAATTTGCACTATTGAGTTATTAGTGGCTCAAAGCTGATGCAGTGGACTGTCTCTGCTTCACAGGCAGCCCTTCCATCCCACTCTCAGGTGGCCCCTTCAATAGTGAGGCCTTGCTACAAGTACTGCCGCTAAATGCTTCTGTCAATTAACAGCTTTTTGTAGCTGAAACTGTCTTTACAAAAGGCATGTGACTTTGCTAAGAGAAGAGCTCTTAAAAACAAGTGACTGAGGCCCATGATTGTGACAAATATTGCTTCCTTCTAGGTCTCTTGGAATTAACAGACCAGTGTGAACATGACATTTATAAGGTCATGAAAAAATCCTGAAAAAACCTCTCAAACTCAGTCTAACTTGTGATACAGTGCCTTTTCAAATTCCTGGAGAGGGTGCATTTATGTATAAAATGGTCTTTTTATATAACTTGTATATAAGAGTTTTGCTTAAAAAAATGCCCTAGATTGGGATAATCAGACAAAAGCTTTATGAGGTCAAATGGGTGATTGAATATAAAGTATATTGTTTTCAAAATACATTTGCAATGTACAAGTTGGAGAAATGAGATGCTGCTCTTAATTTTTTTTTTTTTTTTTTTTAGAAAAACTTTTATAGGAAATTTTACTGGGAAAAGTAGCACTAGAATCACCAACTCATGTCTCAAAATGAAATGCCACTTCAGAGCAGTGTCCATTGTATGCATTGTTCACATGAGGATGGAACCACCACAGTCTCACAGATAAGTTCTGTCCATATTAAAAAACTAAACATACCAGAAACATGCTTTGCCTTGGACATAGCTCTTCTTTCACTGGCACCAGTGACTAAATCCTCACAATTACCAAAACCATGGAACACTATTAGAACTAGAGACACTAAAGTAAAACAGATGCCAAGTAGGAACACACTACGTGCTCTGGGGTTCGCTTTTTTTTTTTGCCTTTTAACATCAAGTGTCTCAGCACAGGGATTTACGTGGACAGTTCATTGTTGTCCCGTTTCTATTAACATTTCTGTATTTCCTCTTGTTGCAGCTACTTCTAGAGCTGTACAGTGCTATTGAGAGCAAGTTCACAGGGCAGCATTCCTCTAGCAGGAAACAGAAAGCTGCCTTAATAACTGGTAAGCCTAATTCTACCCTCACAGTGTTCTGAAAGAAGTTTTTGTGTGGAAGGCTGATGAGTGAAGTAGCACATAGAGCTCAGTGAATAACCTGCAGCACAGCTGCTGCTAGACACAGCTACCTTTGAATGGGATATTGCAGAGATTTTTTTCCAGCACAGTAACAGAATCAGAATAAGCTGTTAGATGAAAGTAAAAATCTTTATTGCTAAGTCAGCTGAAAATTCAATGCAAAAATACTCTTCCTTCATGAACCTCTCTATACATCTGAATAAAGAATCAGTGGACTAGTGTTTTCCAACAATCACGTTATTTGCCTTTCCAAAGCAGTACATAGGCCACAGTGCTGAGGGCACATTCATTGGACAACCTACTCCCATACACAGTAAAAACAGGGATCGTTATAGGTGCATGCTAGAGTGGGATACAGAAAATACTCTCCTTTTTAAAAACAAAAAAAGCATGAAAAAGGATTATTTAGTAAACAGTTGGTACACTGCAATATTTAACATGCGCCAGATCATATTAATAATTTTAAAAAGGTAACATTTTAAAATGTGAAAAAAGAGGAAAAATACAGTTGAGTCTTTAGAGAGCAATAGTACAGCAGACAATGATTGCACAAGACCAAAGAGGTGATCTGCCTGAAGAAAGGCCTTTGGCAAGTGACACAAAAGCCACCAGCATCTATCTGGAAGGAGTGCAGAAACCCCACAGGTCCAAAGCCTTAGGTGTGGCTGAAGGTCCTGTGTACTACAGGAAAGATTTCAGACTTCACAGCAGCTTGTCCCTGAAAGAGGAAAATACTTCCTCCTTCTTCTAACAGGATGTTACCCTCCCATCTAACTGAAGATTGCAGTCTGGTATGAACAGTCTGTGATGCTGCCTCCACTGGGCCTGTTCCTTGTTCTGGGGGCAACTTGGAGGCTCTTACCTTTAACACCTAGGCCCCCACTACCCACCACTCAGTATAACCTTTATGGGTTCCTTTTACAGAAGCCTTTCTGGACAGGACAGGACAGGACAAGACAGAGCAGTGCCTTCACAGTACCTGTCTCAGCAAGCATGCTTATCAGCAGAGCCAAAATTACTGAAGAGATGGACCAGCAACCTCCTCAGCATCACTTGGCTGTGGCTGCGTGCAGTGTGGGAGGGCTTGCATTGCTCAGCAGGGACAAAATAGCCAGTGGACCTCAAGGTGAGAACCCCTCTCTAACAGCAAGTCTGCAAATGAGTGGGACATTCTCAGTGATGTGGTTATTTGATGATCACATAGTATCTCTGCAAACTCCAAAAACAAAAATCAGGGAAGGGACTGGAGAACAGGAAGGTAACTGGGAAGACACTTTCTATACCCTGCTCTGAGTCCTTCAGTAGACTGCCCATTCATACCTGTTCTACCTACAGCAGTGCTCCTTGGGAGCTTGAAATCTAAGGTACTGTTAATAAATAAAGTAGGGGAGACACACAGGGAGGAAGGAAAACAAAAGGTAGTGGAGGGAAGCACTCTGTTCTGTGCGTTGTCCTCACCAGACAGATGAAGATAACCCAGCCACACCACTGACTGACCAATGTCAGAAAAAACCCCATTTCTTTGGATGACAGTGACCTTGAAGTGTGTCTCAGCAGTTGGAATCTTGTGTTAGAAAATCCAAGACATTTGCATGAAAAAATTATGCCAGTGTCTTTGCTGACACCCAAAACTGGCCTAGGAAAAAGCAGCGCTTTTTGTGATGAACAGGCACTATTTTTAATGCATGAAAAAGATTTTGGATGACTGGAGAAAAAGCATCACAATGCTGTGGCTGAAATGGAAAAGGAAAAGCTTAATCCTTGGAAGAAGCACATGGAAAATACCCAAAAGCTGCTTGAGGACACCAGCGCTTGTCTTAGTCAAACAGAGAAACACTATTTGGAACACCTAAAGTCAACTCAGCCTGTGCTTCCCAGAGTCCACAATACCAGCTTCACAGAAATCTGTGGATTCTGCCTGGAATGTAAGAAAGATAACAATCCATGTCTTCCATGACAGTTCACACCCATAGAAAATAGGAGCTGGCTGTATTTAAACTCCCTTTTTGCTTCAAAACCAGAAACAGCACTGGAGAAAAAGTCCAAGTAGGAATTCTTTCTGTTCCATTCTGCCACTACCTCTAAGAGGTACAGTTCAGAAATCTGCATGCTCTATTGCAGAGCTGTGTTTTCCTTATTCCTTTAACACTGAGCTAGGTAGAGCTGTTCATTACTAACTCCTTGTGGCAATTCTGCATGCAATACTACTGATTCAGACTGGCAAGGATACACTGGACTTTCCATATCAGTGCAAGAAATAGAGACCTGATTTGCATTCATACGTGCCACTCAGAGTGCAGGGCTTGTCAGAGTCTTACTCAGAAATAAGGGTTTCTGCATCAGTCCCATACTGAATGGAGGCTGTTCCACAGCCCTTTCAGATATCAGAAACTGTGAGGCTAGGCACAGATACTTGGTAAAATTATCACCAGTAACAGAATCAAAAGTTGCAGTTGAATACATTGCAGACGAACCTCTCCTGCATACTTATATGATGATAACATGAAAGAGTTTTGGGGTTTAGCATTTGAATCTTTTCTGCTTTTTCCTCTGCCTAAAGGATTCAAGTGCTGTTGTTTCTGTGACTTTAAGAACTAGCTTCAACCTCCAGTTCCAAATGAAATAAGCATTTAAACAACCAAAAATTGTGAGAGTTTAAACTTTGCAAAAAGTTGGGTTGTTTCATGATTACACTGCAATTAGCACAAAGTATATCCTAAAATGTTGCTCTTTGTGCATGATAGAAATACCTTTTTTTCCTAGTGAGAAGAAATTCAAGGTGCTCTGAAATCTCAGTAAAACTCCATTAGATTTTGTCAAAAGATCTATATTGACAGAATTCCACAAATAGTCTGCACAGTATTTCCTTCTGAGCAAGGCCCAAATTTGATCCAAAAACAGACAACTCAAGCCCCTCAGATCTCTTCAGAAGAAACATTTATGTTTTCTTCATAAATATATAATTAATGAAGAAAAAGGCACTAGCCCACATCACAGTCAGGATTATTGCACCACTGACATGACAAGGACAGCTGCTATCCAGCTCTGTCAGGAAGGAAGGCAGATCTGCATGCTACAGAGGCAGTGACCTCCACAACCCTTATACAAGATGACAACATGGGCAGCCAACTTACACCCTGCACCAAAAATCCTAATAGAAATACAAGGCATCTGAGTGCAGACTAGCCAGTTCATCATTAGTGGGACTGTTTTAAACATCTTTTTCAGTGCTGATAAAAATGTGAATAAGATGAAAAGTTTAATTTTTGCTTTTGTGCTGAAGGCTTAGGAACAAGTACACTTTCACCTTGTTTGTGGCGAAATTGGGCACATACCATGAAATGCTGGTTGCTGTGTATTTGGAATATGACTCCTGCTTCTAGAGGCAAGCAAAGATGCTGTAGCTGACAATGCAGAGGTTTATGTTGATGGAAAAGAGCACTGCATGCTTCTGCCAGTCTTAGAGCAGCACACCATTGTTTACAGCTTGGCTCTTCTGACTGACCACCGAGACAAGCACAAGCTCCTGGCTTTATCCCATGTCTTCTGTAGAGGAAGCCTCTACTGTGAAGCATCCATGATGAAGGTGGCCAAGCTGCTGCTGAGGTGGGTCTGTGCTCTGCAGCTAGAGCCACTAGATCTACACATTGCCTTATTCAACCAGTCCTCATCTTTCCTATGCTCCATATAAAATGCATCGGTTGGCACCTGCTTATCACTCAGCTATGTGTTTTCTCATCCTGCACAGAATGATCCCACCATAACCTTCACTCTCCCCTACACCAGTGCTCATCAGAACACTGGTACCCTGAGTCCTCCACTATCCTAAGAACATTAATTGGGAAAAGTCCACAGCATATCTGCTGTGGAGTGCTTTCTCCCCTAAACCTAAATAATAAAGTGCTGGGCTGAAAGGGAAAAGAACAGCTTAAGTGCAATAAATAAAAGTGCTTGCAATTAATATAGGAAACCATTCTCAGGTCAGCTTCATTGCAACTGTCTGTATTCTTTCAAGGAATAACAAAGTCAGGTGCTGGGGGGGGGAGGGTGGGACACTGCATCAGAAATGTTCACAGGACTCTAAACACTGAGCATTTCTCTCTCAGCAGCCTCCTCACCCCACACACACATACTCCAGCCCCTTTCCAGCACAGCTGGCAGAATCTCAGGGTTCAAAGACTTACCAGACAGTCCCTAACACAGAGCTCAGCTGCTGATCTGTCTGCTCATAGAACAACTGAGATGCTACAGTGGTTAAGTGGACAGCCTAGACGTTGGCCTTCCTGATTCTTCCTCAACTCCATTAAGGAAGCAGCAGGTGTCTGTACTCCTTGCAGATCCCAGCTCCCTCAGAGGGCATGACAGCCCTTATTAAACAGAGCTTCCTGGGACAGATAATGTGGGAATGGTACTCGTAGGGTTACAGAGCTGTGTCAAACTCCTCTGGCAGGGATGCTGCATGTTCTTCTTTCAGCTCCTGATCTGCTCTGTCCTCCTGGTGCTGCTTCATTTGTTCCTTCACTTCCTCTTCCAGATCAGGTGGCACCACAAATTGATCTTCTGGCTCCATCTGGGATGGAGCAGCAAAATAGCCTGTCTTCTTCTTGGGTGCCTCTGTCGCTACTTCAATGAGGTTGAGGCTCTCCTCCAAGGGCACTATGGAGCCATTGGAAAGCTTCTTTCCATAAAGACAACATGTGGAAAGAGATTTTTGGAGTTCACACTTCTCCTTAACCCCTCTCTGCACAGTGTTGCTGTTTACACTGTTCTGCCTCCGAATGATGAGTACAAGCCCAGAGTCATCCTCTGGCCCTGGAGTAGAAGAGCTGTACTCTGCAGCAGGATGTTGTAATTCCAGACCCTTTCCTTTACAGCAATGGATGTCCACCTCTACCTCCACTTTACTGCCATTTGTCATCACACCTTCCACAGGTTGCTCATCATCACTATCTAGACCATTGTCAGACTGGTTGCTAGAGAAGGTGGCACTGGAATGTTGGCGCTGAAAGATGCTTGAGGGGGGCACAGGATGTAGGCTGCAACGTCGTTCTTGTCGTGGTAGCAAGCTGCCATCGAGACCAACAGCACTGTGTTCATCTGATGCAGTAGAGCCCACCTCACTGCTAACCTCAGAAGCAGACAGTTCACTGCTGAACTCTGAAGCAATTCCACTGCTACATGAAGGTGTTGCTGGTTTGGTGGTGGTAGAACTAAATCCCCCAGGGCCTGTCAGAGTGAGGCCGTGCATCTCACATGTGCAGTTGTCCTCACTGATGTTCAGACATACCACCATTGCACCAACATTGTCTTGGCAACCATAGCTTTGGGCTAAAGTGCAGAGTTTCTTTGCGGCAGCTAGTGGGTCGTGTAGGTGCCGCACAGCTGAGACAGCCTCTGCATAAGAAAGATGTTCCCAGAGAGCTTTGTTCCCTAGAAGTAGCAATTCATCTTGTACAGTCAGTGGAATGGAACTGACATGTGGTTTGGGCAAGATCCAAGGATGCAGGTACGTGCAGCCCAGCATCCGAGTACAGCAAGTCACACCATTGACTTTATTGTCCTGCAGACAAGAGAAATAAGGCAGTAGCATGGGATGTGCTATTACATAATTTAGAAAGCAAACTTTTCCCTGCTCATATGCTGGTTTGGAGCCTCGAGAAATGTCAGTTACACAGCTGCAGCATTGGAGAAAGGGATCTAGGTGCAGGTACTACAGCGCATTCACTATACTCGATGACAAGGTACAATAAATGCCATCACCCATGCTGGCAATAACACACTTTTATCCCACAAGACTTTTTGTTGCACTCTGAAGAATTGTAGCAGACAATTCTGAAATGTGCAGCTAGACTCCCTGCAGTACACTGATCAGAGAATCTCACTGATTAGTCTTATGTGAAACTTATTTTTTTAGCACAAGTGAGACAGTGACTTTTGACTTTCTCAGTGCAAGACAGGTTACCCAGACATTAAACTATTTCTGTGTATTATCTGAACTATTTCCCTCTTTATTAATACATAACTGCATTCTGAAGTGTGGACACTACAACCCGAGGACAAAACAAACAGGTAGGTATCTCAAACTGTTTCTGTAACCAGGATGTATTACCCCTTTCTGCTAGATGGTCCCCTGGCCAGCCCGGCAGTGGTCTCCCATAAAGAGAAGTGTCCACAACCCTCAGCACCTTTTCCAAGTCAGTGTTTTGAGTTTAATTTCAGTGTTCTTAATTTCTGTATCCTCTGGGTGTCAGCACTGCTGCCGCCGCCAAGTATTAAAACCCAGCACATGAGATGCACAGGGAAGTCTCTTATACAGTAATTTCACTTTTCTTTTTCATAATCCATTAATGAGCCAGTTTTTAAACTATTTAACGTCCTACATTAGTCCCATAGTTATTTTCAGTCAGTAGCTGCAGTGCTATGCCTTGAAGAGCTGTAACACAGTGACACATTACGCTTATGAAAAATACTTCTATCTAGCAACTTAATACTTTTTATAAGATCCACTGGTGAGCATACAACTACAGTGACTGGAACTCATTTCTCAAGATCTTTACAGATGTATTTTTCCCACTCTTTGTAACTTCCCTGTTATTTCCAAGTGTTTCGAAAGTTAACCTTTACTGAGTTCTCTAGAAATCATTTTAATACTTTTGCATATTACAAGTCATCCTGTACCCATAGGTCTTAGGCCAAAGTGTTTTAGGAACACTTCTGCAATTTTGGACAGCGAATCAACAAATGAAGCAGAGCAGGAAGCACTAGATCAGAACCTTCATGCCACCCTCTCCCCTGTAATGTTATGCAGACAGCCAAGCTCATGTATTTGTACCGAGCTTTTATGTGAGTGTGGAAGCTGAAGTGGAAAGGGTCCAAACCAACCTCTGTTATAATGGCTTTTTGTTCCTTGACTCTCCTGGCTTCTTCTGAACATTGTTCAAGACTGAAGACTTTGGAGAGAGGCAGTGCTTTTCCACTTCGGCACAGAACAGCTTGGCACGTCCCCACATTGGCCACCGTCAGAGAAAAGTTGCTGGCTGGATCAGCCACCTCATTACGAATGTAGCAAAGGACAGCAGAGGAACCCAGCTTCTGCCCAGCCATGCCCAGCTTTCTGTTGGAGGAGAAAGTGTAGGAGGCTCCAGACTCTACTGACAGGCATTCTGGAGGGCTGCCTCACCCCACCTAACATATTGATATACCTTATGCAAGTCCCACTAGGACCAGCCTGCTCACTGTCCTACCTGTGGGAGACCAAGAAGGTGTTGGACATGAACATGGTGTCAGACTGCTGTACCTCCTCCAGGAGCACATCGGCCATGGTGCACTGCAGCAAACGTGGCAGTTCTTCATTCTTGTCACCATCAAACATGCCATACACAGCCTCCACCCCCTCTGCAAAGCTCCCCAGTGTCAGGGACGACACACACAACCTGTCAGAAAAGCATACAAGCTAAGTTAATATGTCTCAAAAAATTAACTTGTTCTCAAAACTACAGCCATCAGGCACTTTGCTGTGAGTGCCATTCTCATAGGGCAGCAAAGTCACCAGCCCTACATTCACTAGCCTGGGAGATGTGCAGCTGCATTTTATTATTGGAACTCCCAAACCCTACTTGACCACATGCAGGAGAGGGCAACAGGCACAGCTGGCAAGAGAAAAAGCATCTTTGCTGGAAAGGGGAGTCCAAGTGTACCGGGAAAAGTGTGAAAATTGAGGCAAATGTGGAGACATGAGTTACCAAGACTTAGTAAGAGATCCAGAGAGAAAAAGGGATGGATGAGCTCTTGGGCAAAACAGGTCTGCTTGGGTGCTCAGCAGTGCACTCTGCCCAGCATCCTGAGAAGACAGCGTCAGTGTTCAGCAGACCATAATACTCACTTATTTCTTTGGCCTGCCATCTCAGCTACTCCGTGACTCCAGAAGACAGAAGTGAGTGCCGAGTCTGCCGTGAGGGAGGGCTTAGCATCAATCTTCAGTGTGGTAATGTGACTACAGAGAGAACAGAAGTTATGCTTTTCTAGAACCTGCTGAATAGGCCTTAGGACCTTGTCCAGTCTAGTTTTAGACAGCAGTCTGTGGAAAGAACTGCATCAAGGAAAGGAGTTTAAGGTCTAAGTGTTCTGGAGATGTCTGGCTGCTTATGCCAGAGACACCTGGGAAAACCTCACACCAACTGAAAAATTCCTTGCTCTGATGTTTCAGACCCAGACTTTTCCCTTCCCAAAGACAGCAAGTCTCAGCTGCCTCAGGCAGGGAATGTTATACTATCATGCAGTGATAAAGTGCTTTTACTTTACTATCCCATTTCTTCTCCTGGCAAGGGTTACCCTTCCCTGTGCAGGTCACTACTGGGTTGACATGTCAATGGCTCACCTGAAGATATCCAGTGTCTTGTGTTCTAGCACCAGGTTTGTGTTTCCACTCAGATCCAGCTCTTGCAAGGCACCTGGCAGTGCCTCAGGGATTAGGATTTCAGTTAACTCATTGCAGCTCAAATCCACAAACTGCAGTAGCAACAAACAGCATGACAAAGAAAATACTCTTTTGTTGTGTCGTGTCATCAGTTACTCCAGTGCTCCTTATAAACGTCATACAACCCTGCTACTTATTGTATCTCACACACAGGTTATGGAAATGGATCTGACTTGGCAGAAGAAGAATGATTTATAAGCAACCTGCAATAGCCATGACTCCAATACTGAAAGACTAGGTCACACCAAAGATAAAGGAAAGCCTCTATATGCAAACCTGCTGCCCACTGTCTCAAATGCAAGAAACCAGAAATGTCAGAGACAGGGGGTAAAGGTGAATGAGATGATCTTTTATCAACTCAGAAGGTGAGAGATTGAGAATGCATATTCTGTGGCCTCTTCTTGGGTTGATCAAGCAAAGTCATAGAACCACAGAATGGTCTGTGCTCAAAGAGACCTTAGAGCTCATTTTTTTCAACACATCTGCCATGGGCAGGGACACCTTCCACTACAAGAGGTTGCTCCAAGACCTGTCCAACCTGGCCTTGGAACTTCCAGGGATGGAGCAGCCATAGCTTCTCTGGACAACCTGTGCCAGGGCCTCCCCACCCTCACAGGGAAGAGTTTCTTCCTAATATCCAATCTACACCAACTCTTGTTCACTTTAAAGCCATTCACCCTTCTGCTGTCACTCTGTGCCTTTGTCCAAAGTCCCTCTCAAGCTCTATTTTAGTCACTTTAGGTAATGCAAGGTTGCAATAAGGTCACTCCAGACCCTTTTCTTCTCCAAGCAGAACAACCCCAAACCACTCAGCCCATTGCCACAGCAGAGGTGCTCCAGCCTTCTGATCATCTTCATGGACTCCTCTGGGCGCACTCCAACAGGTCTAAAGTCCTTCTTGTGCTGAGGACTCAAGAGCTGGGTGCAGCCCTCCAGTTGGGATCTCATCTGAGTGGGACAGGGGGGCAGAATCCCCTCCTTACCTGCTGTCCATGGCACTGGGGATGAGCCCAGGATGAGTGGGGGTGGTTTCTGGGTGCCAGCGCATATGGCTGGGGCATGTCCAGCCTCTCATCCAGCAGCATCCCCAAGCCCTTCTCAGCAGGGCTGCCCTCAACCATTCATCCCTCAGTCTGGATTGATACCAGGGGCAGCCCTGACCCAGGTACAGCACCCTGCACTTGGTCTTGCTGGGACCTCCTGCTCTCTCCTAGCAGTTACTCATTCTATAGCCCAAACTTTACTCAGATATCTCTTTATCTTCTCCATACAAATACCTGAATACGGGGCAAATGCAGGACTTCTGGAAAAATGCTGATTTCATTAGAGTGTGCAATAAGTGTATGAAGTAGCTTGCAGTTTGCAACCGTTGTAGGAATTGTTTTCAGTTTGTTTCCACTCAGATTCAGTTCTTCCAAGTGCTCCAGCTTACTAAGTTTGCTGAAAGGGAAACAAAAAGATACCGTATCTTACAGACATGAACTTGTCACTTTCTGAAGTTGCAGATGAGGTATCCATAGACACTGCCCTTTATGAGCTACTTTTCTGATTTACTGATAGGAGACCCAAAGTCCTAAGAGATGCTTTAGTAAGATGCCTGGCTTGGATTTGTACAACAGACAGACCCTTCACCATCAGTGCTGAAGTTGCAGAGAAATATCATCCCGTCCCCACACACATGCAACACAAGTTAATCCCTTGGTCCCCCTGGATGCCACTTCAACTAGGACAGGAAAACCTACAACCAACACTACCCTGTGCCAATTTCCCTTAACACACTTCTCCTCCCTCAGTGTTTAGAAATGTCAGGTTTTTGTCTTCAAGCCACAGGGAGAGCATTTCACTCTACTTTGACTCATGTACAATCATGGGGAGGTGGCAGCTTCCTCCCAGGAAGCACTGCCTTGCCCAACAGCCTTACTGACTTACCTTGCAGGGAAAGTCTGCAGGTTGTTGTTTGCCAGATGCAGGATCCGTAGGTTTGGGTGTCCCACCAAGACAGGGATGCACTGATCTGTGAGGTTGTTATTAGTCAAGTATAGCAGCTGCAGCATGCTCAAACTCTCCTCCCCCGGACATGTGGTGGGCAAGGACTCCAGGCTGTTTGCAGAAGCATTCAGGTACCTGAGGCTAATCACAGCAAGTGCAAGAATCAGACTTCACATCATTCAAACCACTCCATTAACAAGGAAAAGGAGCTGTACAAATGCCAGTGTAGACAGCAATATCAGACAGGAGGCCAGACAATACTGTAACATCCCTACCCACATTAAGATTTGTGAATCTACTAATGTCTAACTAGCTATATGCACTGTGGATGCACACAGCATTTTTACAGTAAACAGTGAGTACTGAAAAGCCCATGGGTAATACTGGAAGCAGACAACATAAAACTTTACTTAAAGAAGGGCTTCTTTAAAGAAGGGCTAACTCCTGTTGATACAGTTAGGAGAGACTGGTCATTTGTAAAGGGTCTCTCTTATTGTTCTCAAATGACCTGAATCTGACTGGCTTCTTTTCTTTGCACTTAAACTTATGACTACTTTTAAAGACAAAGTTCTTCAGGCAGCTTCTGTTTTCCTGTAATTATACAGTAACATGGACTGATTCCTTCAAATCAGCTTGATGGCTTCCCTTTTGGCACCTGAATAACCTCCTCATAAAGGGCACACCTTGTTATCTCTTACGCAAATGGCACCTTGAAGGACAGTCACACAGGTGCTACTTTCAAAAGATGTTTGATACTGACACTCACTTCAGAGCTTTGACAAAGAGTGTCTCTGGGAGTTTAGCCAACAGATTGTGCTGAAGGTCCAGCACCTCCAGTGGAATGTGTTCTAGAAGAGGTGGAAGGCTTTGCAGACGATTGTGCCCCACCATCAACTTCCGAAGACTCAAGCTTCTGAGGATCCTAGAAAGACACAGGGTTTTCTATTTAACTTGGTTCATTCCTCTTGACATTCACAGAGTGGGAAAGGTAGTATTTAATCCACTTAATTTGCTTGTACAGCAGGGAAAAATTAAAATACACCGATCCATAAAATGTAAACAATTACAAAGCAGAACAACACACAGGGTAAGATGATTCAAGTCTCTCTGCTTGAATGCACATCTACATTTCCCTCTACACTACTAATGTTTGGTATCTTGTGATTCAAGTTGGTGTGCATGTGCCCAGCATTCTCTCAGGCAGACAAAGAAAGAAGTCACAAAGGAAGGCTTTAAATGCCTGTTGTCACTTGTAGGTAGAAAGAAGTGCTTCCACAGCGCAGACATAAATTCAGAGTTCTAACTAGTAGCTTAGCACTCCTGTGTTATTTCTGAGGCAGCAAATTATTCTTTGCATAATATACTTAAAATTTGGTCACTTTAATCCACTGGATTGGCTAAAGTTATCTTCTAAGTTCTCATTATCACATCCTTCGTATGTCCTTTTCTTGCTTTTGATGTATATAGTTTTTCTGGGACAATCACTGGAATGTCACTGCTGATCACCTCCTATGTCTCTTGCTTCAACTTCTCCAACCATGTTCCACATTTCTTCTCTGTTAACTACTTCTCCATTCAATTTTAGTACAAATTACCCCAGGCACTGTGTCATTCATCAAATCACACCCCCACCAAACACCCTTATTAGGCTGAGAATGTTTATGCTTTGCTTCTTCCTAGGATAAATAACTGCAAAATAGTATTAGTTCTTGGCTCTCATTCACTGCATTTCTCCAGAAACTGAAAGGGAAGTAGGGAGAAAGGAGCTGGCTGATGGTGCACTGTGAAAGCTGCATTTCAGATCAGCTGAATTGTCCCTTTGTGATAACTCCCTGTCAGAGGTAACAGATGAAATTTCTGTGGCATGATGCAAAATGTATTAGGGTCTCACCTATGACCTATGTTCACAGACAGTATGATAACACATATAAGTCACAGCAGCATGTTCTATGTCAGGTGCAAATAGCTGCAGTAGCAGCCGAAAGCACAGGACAGAATTACCTAGCCCCTACTGTTCAAAAGGCTGACCTAGAAACTGGTTCTTTCTGACATTTGAATACAGACCATTTTTGATGCTACATAGACAAAGTAAGTGAGAGTAAATATCTCAACGTAACAAGGAATTAAGCAACAGGAATAGCACTGCTGTTCTCTTCCCAGACAGCCCATTGTAGAAGAAAGCTCAGCTCTGTTTACAAAGGTTTATCTGACCTCGATGGAAGCTCCAAGAGTAGGTTGTAGCTCACATCCAAAACTTCCAGTTTCTTTGCTTCACAGGCCCAGTCTGGGACACACTGTAGTTGATTGCTGAGAAAAGCAAGTGGGAAAAGCTAGAAACCAGCACTCCATATGGAAAAGACTGAATGCTGCATGATTTTAGTGACAGCCAAACCAAAAGCAACAGGCAAAAAATGAACAGTATCTGAGTTAGTCATGGATAATGCAAACTGAACTGGTTCGTGACTTGGCAGGGCATCCTATCTTACAAGTCTCACAATGCTGCTCCAAGGGCAGATGTAGGCAATGAAATCAACAGCAGAGATCACTGGGAGCTACTCTAAATATTTGATCCACGGATCCCCCCCATTCAGTTCAGTAAGCTGCCACAAGTTCAGTGGTCCCTGCTTGGCTTTTTTTTTTCCCTGATCACAGCCTACAGCTGAAGGACAGCAAAGTCACCTGAAAAGGTCACACTGGTTCAGAAGGGCTTCTGGTCTGGGACACTTTCATCATTGTTTAGTGCTGGGCTTTGAAGTTCTATTGTGTTTAATTGCTCTCAAGATGTCCAGATACTTGCTTTAAATTCTGTTGTGTATTATCACTTACTGAGAGAGTTCTAGACATGTCAGTAGACCAGGAACCGGATAAATATTGACAGCTGTCAGACCTGATGAAGTAAAGCAAGTAAGTATGATTGCAGAGCTTCAGAGAGAAAACAGCACAGAGCTGCAACTTAGTTATCAAATGAGACTCACAAACTTTCTCTATAGAGACTCAAGGTCCCCATTGATACTTCCCACCACAGAGTTCAGACTTCATACATCTGCTATATGCACACTACAGTGTCTCACTATCCATTTTTCCATCTGTCATGTGGAGCACCAGAACAAGAGAGAACGGTACTTTACTTTGTGAGCTGCCAAACAGATCTCAATGGGACATGAATTCCTGGGACATAAGACCACAACCTCCACACTGTTACACAGCCTGTGTACACCCATGCATATGCGATCCGTAGGAGCTAACCTCAGAGGACCCATCGCATACGGTTTCACCACAATAACATCAACATAGGTATTTTTTTAATGCATGAGAGAGGGCAAACGGCTGTTTTCCTTTGCTCCCAGGGCTTAAAGGGAAAAGGCAGGTGAAGAAGACAAAGAGACATACAGTTGCTGTTGGCATACAGGGCCCGAAGGGAGAAGCCGCTCAGTGTCAGCTCTCTCAGCTTATTTCGCTCGCAGTGCAGCTGCTCCAGGCTGACCAAGGAGCTCAGATCCAGATCTGTCATCTGATTGTCTCGTAAATCCATGTAAGCCACAGATTTGTTCCCCTCCAGAGTGTCAGCTGCTGCTCTCTTCAGGTTGTTCAGCCTAAACATTCAGAGATGAGTTAAAAAGTCAGAAAATAGGACACTGGACATCGGTAGGAGAGAAGAAAGAAGAGGAAAGGAAGAATTCTGGTGAAGGCTAACACCAAAGGTGAGCACAGTGAATGAAATGTGTGACAAGCAATGGTGAATTTCAGGCAGTAAATACAAACAAAAACATTTCCTTTGTCTACACTGCTACACGTAATCATTTTAATGATTCCCATATTCTTAAGAGATTCTGAAAAAAGATCCAGTCTAGAAAACAGAAACTTGGTCAAGGGGCAGCTACTCTGCATGGACACAGGAAGCTAATGCAGAGAACAGATACTAGACTGCCTTGCCACACACAAAAAGATCTTTGTCCCTTTCTGAGAGATGTGCAGTTGGCAGCCTGGAGAATCAGGATCACAACTCTAGGGCAGTGAGGCAAAGAAAGGAAGAAGAGATCAAGGTTTTGGTACCTTGAGCTACCAAAGCTTAAGATAACAGCAAATCACAGGAGGAAACTAGAGGGCTGGGTCACATTCAGCATCTGGCACTGCTCAATTAAGCTTGCTCTTCCAAGTGGATTCTGCACACCCTCAGAAACAGAACTCCATAAAAGCTAAAGAATCAGTAAGAGAAAAAACTGAACCTAGTTTATTGCAAAACATACCAGAAGTTGCACAGATCCTCTGCTGTAAATGGAAAGTACCAATCTGTTTTATAGACACCTGCCAGTTTCACCCCTTACCTCAGGTCCACACTTTTGATGTGACCCATACGGTTCAGCACTGTCAGGTCCAGGGTCTCCAACAAGTTCCCTGCCAGGGCTAGTTTGTCTAAGGTGACAAGTTTCTCACAAATTGCTGGCAGTTCACAGAAGTTATTGAAGGAAAGCCCAAGACAGCTGAGCTGCTGCAGGTTTCCCATCTCTTCTGGTAAGGATGTGAGGAAATTGCCATCAAGCCAGAAGGTCTGGAGACTGCAAAAGTGAAAAAGAGAAAGAAAATAATTCTGCAAAGAGTAGTGAACATCATATTTCATATTTTCAGTGAATTTTCTCATATAGTTAGCTGGTCTCAATGTGGTTATTTTTAAAGGTACCTAACAGCTAATTTTATTCTTACACACATAAAGTTACTGAAGTACTTTTATCACACGCGTAATAGACTTGGAACTTCCAGTTGTGCCAAAGATTGTTAACACAAGCAAAATAGAAACCAGTTGTAACATACATTGTAAATGACAGGTATTTACTTAATTACTTGATTTTCTACAAATGGCACAGTTTAATCATACTTCCTACCACACTAATGCACTAGCAGAAGATTTTACACTCTAGTTGTCCATTCCAAAACACACTCGGAAAAGAATAAGGTAGCTTTCTGTTGTATGATGAATTGTTTCAAAGGCTGTATGGCTTTTGAGACCCAGATACCAAATATACAATTCCCTTATTATGATTATGTTCCAACAGAGACCTTTCTGTGTTTAGTGGTGGCAGAAATTAAATCTGAGGCCATAAAAAGTTCTTATGAATAAGGGCTCAAGGAGTCATCAAGATAACTGGACCCATAACTAAACTGTAAACCTCCGGGAAGTGGAAGCCAATATGTAACTTTTTCCTCACAGTTTGCATATGGCTAAAAGATCATTCTGGAAATTACTTGCTCACATCCAGTGTGGCTGCAGACACTCCTTTTTTAAAGATACAAGTTGGAAGAAAAGCAGGCCACAATAAATAAACAGTTCAATATTGATGTTTATCTATATGAACATTTAGATAAACACCTATTGATATTTATCTAAGTGTACTAACAGTCTTGCAATTAAATTTACCTAAGCTTAAGCTCTTATGCATTTGGGGCAGCTGCTGGGGAAAATGGACAAGGCTCCAGCAAACACTTCAAGACAAAATTTTCAGAGGAGATTGCTCAAGTAGTTTCATGTTAAAATCCCCTAACACAAAAGCAGCCAATTCTGTAGAACACAATCAAACATACCAGTGCTGACAAAAATCACTAGACCCCTGTGAGAAGTTACCACAGAAAAGCTTTTTACAATAAATTAAAACTTCAATAGAAATTGCATCGATACTGAAAATATTAAATTCAAATAATAAATGCAGAAAGTCAGACAACTCTGAAGCTGCAGAAGAATGCACATAGACTTATTTGAGAAACAATGCAATTGTCTTCAGTGCTTTACCTGCATCAAGTTTCCACATCTTTTCTGCACTAGCAGTTGTGATGTTTTCCTAGTAGTGATTAAGGGATTGCACATCTTAGCTCTTGACCTTCTGCTGAAGTCAAATTAAATATTCAGCCTTCATGGGCAAAACAGGCTGCCCTGTTTTGTTTTTTTTAACACACTTTCAGAAACAGTACCTGCACATCAGTAGTGCTCAGCTGAGGCACCAAGGGTATTTATGATCACAGATTTAAAGAACATACTCACTTCAACAGTTTGCCAATCTGACTTGGCAAGTAATGAAGTCCATTACAGGAAATATTAAGCTCTGTCAGAGTAGAGATCTCACACAGTGATACAGGAAACTCTCCCAGTCTATTATGAGACAAGTTCAGACTCTTCAACTGAGAAAACCTATTAGCAAGAACACTAGTTAATTCACAAACCTACAGGTTTAAAGCAAAAGTACACAAACCAGTCATAAAGAATTCTTAAGTCTTTGTACACTGGTGATACAGTCAGCTAACTCATTACAGGAGTTTTTGCATGAATTTGGTTTAAGTCATTGATATTCTTCTCAACTGTCATGCTGAAAATGATCAAACACCATAGGTTTACTGCAGGAACTGATAACAGCTTTCTAAACTAACTTGACACGCTTTGTCGTAGTGACTGCTACCAAGATTAAGGTGACTAAAGAATTAACTACAGTAAGAGTCTACAATTACGTAGCTAGGGAAAAGAGGAGCTGAAAACATTCACTAGGACTATTCTGAGAATAAAACAGAAAGCCAAGCCAAGCTGTAAAAGGGAAAACTAGGAAAGCACTTACTTCATGCTGGGAAAACCCAAGACCTGCACCCAGAAGTCCTTGAACAAGATGGCACAACTACAGTGCTCAGCAGACTGCATGGCACGCACTGCCCCGAGCGCAGACAGCCCCACAGCCACTACAGTCCCACCGGTGCTTGGGAAATGGTTACCTGTTTCTAGCTCCTTCAATCACTATGCTAGGTCCAAAGACAGAGAAGGAACTTAGTGTGTGGCTGGGGTAACATACAGCAGGGTTCTCCTCCAAGACTTCCTGCCTCTTTCTAAAGGAGGCAAAAGTATTGTTCCCCATGTAAATCATCTTCATCCCGAACTGGAACCACCAAAAATTAATTCAGTGGGGAAATTAATATCTCACTTCAATAAGATAACTGCAAATTTCACGTACCCGAGACCTACTTCTTGGAAACATGCAGTTATTAATCTGCCTCCCCTACCTGACTTTTCCTGGGCATGTAGCTCTTGGCAAGTAGCTCTTATTTTGAAGCAAACGTTTTAGTATCAGTAACAAAACAAGGTTAATTAGCTTGAGGGAGACTATTACTTCTAGCTTAAGATGTCTTGAAATATAAGACTGAAAGGTTTTGGAGTTGTTTTCTTCTTTATAGTGACCTTTTTTTGGATTCAAAATACTTGTAACGATCTGTGTAGGAACTGTGCATATTTCTCCATTTTGCTTTATAACCTTGGGGGGTGTTGTTCTTTTGAAAGAGGGAGCATAGCTGAAACTTGGACATGAGTTGTTTGCTTTGAGCACCTCATCATATGAATAAGGGCACAGAGATTTTTGTTTGCTGCAGCCACACACTCCCTTTTACTGCAACTGAAAGCCAAAGAGAAAAAGATGCTATGTTGGTAAAAGCCTTCCTCAAAGGAAGGATAATGCAAGGACCTAACAATGATACAAAAACTAGAAACTTGCACACAGAACTCCACCACAGTATTGGAAAAGAAGGAAACAATGAGGATGAACCTAAAGATTTGAACAATCTCATTAGCTGGTTCAACTTTAAGAGATTTAGGACAGGTTGCAGTTCTCAGGCTTTGAAATCAGCAAATGCTTTAATAAAACTGCTTTCTCAGGAGTTCTGAAACAGCTTTTGCTACACCTGTTCTTAGTGCCAAGCAGTGTTTCTCTCTCTCTAACAGCATGGTGAGAAGCTGCTCTGAGAGACACAGCATCAAACACAACAGCACAACTAATGTTTAGAATTCATCCCTCTGCAAAAATATGAAAGCAAGCACAAGAGGGGCATTACAGTTTCCAAAAGCTGAAGGGAAACTGGAATATGACACAGCTTGGTCTGAGATTCCTCAAGCAGACTTCCATACTCAGTGGGGAGGACAATACTCAAAAGCCTTTTGAGTTCTCCTTCTGTTCCTCCTTCTTTGCCTCAGTGAGCTCAAGTAGTGATGTAGGAGTGGAGTGGAATGGAAATGCAACTCTCATTCAAGCTGTGTATATGAACCAGGTATTATAGGGGATAAAGATTCCAAAATCGTTGTGGCTCCTCAGGTTATGGTTTGTGCTCTCACAGGGCATACTGAGACAACAAAGAAGTATGGAAACACAGCAGTGAATCTTCCATGGGATGATCATCCTCTGTTTAGCAGCCCAAACTGGTGCTGCCCTGAAATATTCCAAGTTTAACACATCTTGTTCTGCCACCAAAGCACACCAGCACAAATCTGTATCAACTAGCTAGAATGCTGACAAGAGACATGCAGATGTATACATGCATGTGCACACACACATACCAATGAAGACAAGATCTCAGTGTTTTTCAGGTAAGTGAGATACTTGAAAGGCACTACAATACATAAAAAATAAGCTAGGAGATGTAACAAAGCAGGTAGGCCTATTTAATACCCTTTGCTTAACATTTTCCCTCTAGCCAATTATTTTTGCTCCATTATTATAGTTATAGGTAGTTAGACTCCTAGAGCTTGAAAGTTGCTCAGAGGAAGAGATCTGATCATTGTGAAAAATTCTGCTGTGGGGAATTGACAGTCTCAATGCACTGAGAGCACCTACTGCAAGTGAGCAAGGGTCTTCTTGTGGTGCTGTAATCTTAGAAGCATGCTAAATACCCCAGACAGAAAATCTTTTCAAAAGTCAATGAGCAGCCTTATGTGGGCAACCTAATGCTATCTGTTTATTCAAGATTGTGTGAAGTGAGAGCTTCTTTTATGGCTTTTGTTTGTTTGCAGATTTCAGCTTCATCAGGCATAGTCACTGCCAGGAAAAGAGTTGAGTTTCTGACATGTCAGATTTCTTGTTGACTACATGCAAGGTCAAAAGAAATTTCAAGCCCCTTTGCTGATCCTGTGAACCAAGGATACTCCATTTTAGCAAATAAAGTTCTGATGTGCTCAGAAATCATACAATGTATTTGAAGAGACAAGTAGAAAGCAAAATCTTAAATTATTTTAAGCAGCTTCTCCAGTAACAGAATCTATTACAATTCAGCATTAGAAAACTTTTAAAGAAGTTTTGAAAACCAGAACTAGACTCTGGCTCACAAGGAAACTGCAAAGAATTCCAAAAAGTGAGCATTTTTTTTCATTGTATATTCTCAGATACCTGGGCATCTCATTACCCTAGAGGAAGAAAAATGAAATAGCACAGTAGTAGGCCCCTAGAGACAAAGAAAACAAAAATACAGCCTTCCCCACCCCACCTTGCAAAAAAACCCTCCAACAAACCAAAATGACAAAAACAACCAAACCTCAAAACCACAACAACAACAAACCAAAACAAACAAAAAACCAAAAAGCAGTTTTGCAAAGTTTCTCCAAATACATTTTCCTTAGGGAAATGTGTTCCAAACAGAGCCATTGGACAATAATACTATAAGCTTCCTAACAGTTTCCAAAATTCATAGAGCAACTCCTTGAATTCTATTTAGCATGGTTGGTATACATATCAACAGACGAATCTCCCTCTAGATTTTTATGATTTTGGGAAATTAATTTAAAAATATTTTTGTAAGACTCCTTCACTTACCTAAGATGACTACATCATGCTTCCATACCATCACACAACTGCTACTCTCTTAAAAGCAGATCATCACAAGTTTCCAAAGCAAAGCTGGAGTCTCACAGGCCCTCTGCCAATTCCAAATACACATTAAGAACTCGCCGAAACAGGGTTTTTCAGACCTAAACTTCTTCCTACAAACACTTATTCACAACAGCAGCATTATGCTTTTCCTTGCCTTTTATTTTATACCCCAAGATGTTCTCTGCTTAGCAAGCAGCCTAATATTACTACTGCATCTTGTCGATACAAACGGCATGTCACCCCACAAGGCTTATCTCAAATCAGAGTTAGCACAGAATCTGTGGAAGGGAGCTCATGAATACTATAAATTGTTGGAAGTTTATTCCTGTTTGTGCTGCCCAGTTCTGCTTCCAACCCCCTCACTTGTTAGAGCTTCCTAAAGATCAATTTTTTTATCATCCCCAAGAGAACAGGCAATACTTCATTCCTGTATCCACATGTCAAGGACTCCAAATGTTGGAGAAAAATGATTCTTTGCAGACCTGCAAAGAGAGTCAAGACTCCCTGCTCCACTTGTTCTCATAAAATTGTGGCGTAAGTTGAGGTAGGTGATATCTTGACTGTAGAAGAGGTGCTCTGGTACTTCCTCAAGGCTGTAGCATGAAAGATCAACCATGCTAAATCGCATAGACACAATCTGAAAAGAAAGAGAAAAAGCTGCAGCTGTGCAACAAACTTGCTCTGGAAGTCTAATGGAAGGCCAAAGAATACAGGTAATAAACAATTTGCAAGAACATGAAAGAACTCCTTGTACCTACCGGGTAGAGTCCATACAGGAAATGGGAGTCCATGAAGTACAAGCCTGTGCCCTTTGCTACATCCCTGACAAGGATGCACAGCTGGACACCAGCCAGGATTCATACAAAGCCCTGCTCTGTATGTGGACTGGGCACACTGCCTGAAGGCTAGGCTGTAAGAGAGCCAGTGTAGTAGAGGAAAACAGATCTCTCAGAAAACTGTATTGAGAAAGCATAATCTCAAGTGCCTTCCAAAGGTGCAAGAAGCAACTGGAAGCAGTTGATTTTTCAGTTCAGTTCTTTAAGGTTTACAGAACCTCTAACTAGCACTGCTGCTTCTTCTGTACTTTTAGCTACTTCTTTTTTTTTATTAGCTTGTTGAGAGTATAAAATTTGAAACACAACTTGTTATAAGAAGGCTTCATAAATTATGGTTTTGCAGCGTTTCATGAAGTTTTTGCAAATCTCATGTCCTTTCATAAAGTATGTTTTGTTTTGAAGTCTTTGGTGCTTAATTTGCCATTTTATGACCTGCTTTATCCCGAACTCATTTTGTATTTCATAATATCCTTGCTGACCTACAATGTCTCTGTATGTCAAACTTCAGGGCAGCCCTGTGTATGTCCAGGTCATACTTCAGATACATTCAAGTATGGCAACAAATGCAGTCTGTAGGTTTCTATGGCTGTAAAGTCAGCCAGTCCCTGTGGTTTGCTCTAGGGACCTGTGATTCAGCTAGTCTTGTACGTGCAGCAGGGGTTAAAACAGAACAGAACTATTGCTCGACAATGTTGCACAGGTAGAGAAAAAGAGAAGGCTAAGAGAAAAATCTCTGTAGGCCAGAGCATGAAGGAAATAAAGCTGGAAAATGACCTGGGTGCTGTCTCCAGCATCCTAGCTTTGTCTCTGACTGCAGATCAAGCTTGCATCATGATAGCCTTCCTGTGGCATACCCTGCACACACCATCCAAACCACACTGTCCCCATGGGCTCACCGTGGATGCCTGCCGGTGCCACCGCTGGCACTCTGCCAGCGTTTCAAAGGAAACATGGTATGTCTGAGCTTGTGCTCCAGCAGATGTGAAAGCAAGGGTGTACTGCCGACGTTTCATCTCTTCCACCTGCAGAGGGAGAATTGACAGCAGTCTGCCTAAGCACCAGCAACTGCAACTGACCTGAAGCCTAGGGTGAAGTATTACTGACCACCAGTAACATTGCATTTTGCCGAAAATATAGTTGCAGTCACTGGAGAAAAACACAGAAGTAAATCCTGCTTAACATCTTTCTGCTGAAATGGATACAAGAAGTAGCCAGAATTTCCAGAGTGCCCATGCACATTGGCTACTGCTGTGAAAGCTGAACTAGTGTTTCTTCATTTTATCAGCCTTCAGACTACCACCTAAGCAAAGCAAGTAGAAAGATGTTTGGCACATTAATGTTAAAAAAGCCTCCATTAATCTCTTGTGTGCAATTTCCACCACTACTACATTTCTTCTCCCCTCTCAGGTTACAGGGAACTAACCAAAAAAAAGCGCCTTACCTTCCCTCCAATGAGAGGCAAGATGTGCATCTTCCCTGCATGGCTGTCCTTCACTGAGGACACAATGAGGCACGTACCACACAGAGTGACTGAGCGCTCTGCCCACTTGTGCAGCTGGGTCTTTCCTTTGCGTACGTTATAGACTCCAGAGAGCAGGATGCGATCCAGCTGTTCCACCTGACATGGCTTTTCTAAAGAAAAAGGGGACATTAGCACTTGCTGTCCATATGCTCTTCATTCTCATCTGTGAGTACAAATAACACAGCTCTAACATGCAAAACCAGTTGTTGTAAAGAACAAGCAGACAAACTGCACTTTAAAAAAAAAGCCTCTGCAGAGGACAAGCAACATCCTCAGCGCAGGAACAGCAGCTGAGCAGCACCATTTGTGCCTCTCAGAACAATGTTAGAATGGTTGCCATGCAGCGTGTTTTTAATCCACAGGTAGTCACAGACCTCAGCAAATCCACATGCTTGCCAAATATCCTTCATTCAAATGCAACAGAAAAGCAATTTTAAACTCTCGTTGAGTCAGCTAAAGTCATTGAAATCATTAAATAAGTGGCTTCTACTGGACTTTAAAGGAAGGCCTGGAAAATCAACTACAAAGGAAGTTCTTTCCCTGAAGATGACTGTCCTGGTTTTGCCTGAGATAGAATTCATTTTCTTCCTGACAGATGGTACAAGGCTGTGTTTTGGCTTCAGTGCGAGAATAATGTTGATAACAAAAAAAAAAACCCACTAAAAAAACTGCTGTTTTGGCTGGTTCAGCAGCGCTCACCCAAGTAAGGACTTTACAGTGTCTGATTCTCTGCAGCAAGCAGGTGCACAAGAAACTGCAAGGGTGCATGGTTGAACCAGGTGATCCAAACTAGCAAAGGGGATATTTCACACCACAGAACATCATGCAGTATACAAACTTAAGGAACTGGGACAGGAGGGCTGTGCACCAGTGTGATGAGCACCATATTGTGCCTCACTTGTGTTTTATTCCTCTCTCTTTGTTATTTCCCTTTTCATTACAATTATTATTATTATTTTACTTTATTTCAATTATCAAACTGTTTTCGGTCCACAGGTATCACCTTTTTCCCATTCTCCTTCCCATCTGATGGGGGAAGCAGGGTGTGAGTGAGCAGGTGCTAATTGGGTGGCTGAGGTTAAACCACAACAGTCCTTTTAGGTGCCAGACCTGGTGCACCAAGGGCAGAGACAGATCTGACCAGAGTGTGTAAAAACAGATTTGCTATAAGCATTTGCTGTATTGGTTTAACAGTGGCTGGTTACAATATTGATTGTTTTGCTCGATTTTGTTGCACCTGTTCTCAAGTGCAACAAAATGAAAAACCTTATCTGCTGTAAAGGCTGGGTTAAGGTTATGGTGTTGCATTTTCTAATCTGATCTGTGTGCTCAGCATGGCCCCTACCTTTGTGCTCTGGTGCCATTTAGTGGAAAATATCAATAACAACACTATTTGCCTTTTCTCCTCAGACAGCCCACCTAGAGAGTGGACACTTCCCACATCTTCCTTTTCTCCTCCAGGTTAATTACAACAGCATTTGGGAATTTTTAATATCCTTGGGATGTTGAAACCAGTGTGGTTCCCTATTGCTAGGCACCATGATTGTGGCTCAGGTCCTGTTTAGGGAGAAACAACTGTTTGCGGCTACTCCAACCCTGTGACAAGCCACTGCAACTACTCAGACCGGACTGGAGTCAGACCGCTGCCAATTGCTGCTGTACTGGACACACTCAAGGTCAAACCATTCAGCTTCTGGAGTTGGGGTTACAGAGGATTTGGAGCCCACAATACTCTAACTGAAAGAGATACTGGTAGCATATGAAGGGGTTTGAACTGCTTCAGAGCTGATTGGCACTAAGGTCCAGCTGCTCCTGACACCCTACTGGGGTGCTGGGCTGGATGTTCAAACTGATGCTATGTGGAGTAAGCGGGTCACACTGACCACACAGCACGCTTGAATAAGAAAACCATACTCCAAACATTTATCAGGAGCCAACAGTTAACTGCTAACTCAAGCTGTAACATTGTTTCTCAGTTAGTAGAATCTTCAGCTTGCCAAATCTAAAGTGCTGTCGTGATGTCCATATCTGGCTGAATTTAGCTGAAACATGTAGTTGTTTATTTACAACAACAGTTTTGTTTCACACACATGAAGTTTGACATAAGATGTCCTTTACTGGTGAGAAACTGTAAGAATCCACAGAAAAAATTGCTTTGATTTCACCAAGCTGAAATCAAAGCTCCAGACTTTTAAGAAAACATTATTATGGGACTAGAAATGGTATCCTACTACTAACTGCCACAGTGGCACTGTTCCAAGCATTCCTACACAGCTGCACCAATCCTCCAGTTTCCCCCTCTGCTCCAAAACCATGACACCTATCCTAGAGTGGGTCACGGGGCAGCCGCGGACACAGCCAGGCGGCTGGAACACCTCTCCTATGGAGACAGGCTGAGAGAGCGGGGCTGTGCAGCCCGGAGAAGAGAAGGCTCCGGGAAGGCCTTCTTGCAGCTTTTCTGTATATAAAGGCAGCTTATAAGAAAGGCATAGACAGACATTTTATGAAGGCCTATAGGGGCAGAACAGTGGGCCATGTTTCTAAACTGAAAGAGGGCAAATTTACACTGGACATAAGGAAGAAATGTTTGATGGGGAGGATGGGGAGCCCTAGCACAGGTTGACCACAGAAGCTGTGGCTGCTCCATCTCTGGAACTGTCCAAGGCCAGTCTGGGTGGGGCTTGGAGAAACTTGGTCTCATGGAAAGTGCCCCTGCCCATGACAGGAGGGTGGAACTGGACGATCTTTAAGGTTCCTTCCAACTCAAACCAGTCTGTGATGCCACGATTCTAAGTAAAGTTTTTCTGTGTAAAATCTATTACTTCCTCTCTTATGTTCTCAGCTGCAGACACTGCAAAATTATTGTATCATCCTCCATAGCATTCCCTCTAATTCCTCCCCTACCTTTGAGAATCCCTTTGTCGGCATTTGCTTGTATTTCCTTAAAACAGGTCTCCTGAACACCCTTCAACCCTCATACTTCTTCCTTCATAGTTTTCTTCTAAGCAGACCAGCCACTAATGCTGACTGAAACTACTCAATTACATTTTCTATCTACTTGGTTCCATGAAGTTGAGTCGCTGTTCGTGAATCCTTGGCAGTTCCTGCTCGACATACCCAAGCTTTCATTTTTTCCTCAGAAGTTCTCCATAGCCCTATCCTTGATGCCTCTACTCCTTCCAGCTGAAGTAACTTCTGACTCCCCCTTCCTTGCTCCATAAATTCAGACTACGTATGTCAGGCTTCTTTCCATCTGTTACACTCAGTGTTTTGCATATATATGTTTGTATATATATGGTGCATACAGTATCTACACTGTTCTGCCTGTTCTTACACACAGCTCCCAGACAGAAGGGGTTTGTCTCAGATAGCAGGGTGAAGAAGCTGATTTCTTATAAATGCATTTTTTTGACACTGAGTAACCAAAAGATGGCTAGCAGCTTAGTCTGGCTTCCCAGATCCACAATGCAAGAACAATTTTCCATTAAAAAATCTTGATTTTTTTTTTTTCTGAAATGCAAAAAAATACACAGTATTTTTTTAAGTACTTGCAAGTAAGGAAATAATTTCCTTATTATCTTTCCTCACCCTCATTTCTTTTATATTTCCTGTTAACTTCAGTGAATTCTCCTTCTGACTGCTAGTACCACATGCCCACAGGCCTATGCCTGTTATCCGTGGCTCCTTGTGTATACTGTCTCCTGCCCAAACCAATTCAACAGGCCACACTCCAAAGTCTTGCGTCTGCAATCCAGTGCCCTAGGGTTCCGATGGCAGCCTGTGTTATAACTAACCAGCTGGCACCTTCACTCTTCACTATTAAAAGGTTGTGGAGGTATTTGACCAGGAGCTTCCTTGCCCATATCCACAAACTTTTTGTAAATACAATCTTCGTGCACAACTAAACAGAACTCCCAGTGGTAGCTCTAAGTCATCAGTTGCAATATTTGAATCTAAAGAAAACAGAGCAATCCTGTGCCCTCCTGTGGACCTGTCTTTTCTCAAGTCATGGACAGGATCAAGAAAACTACAGAAGTGTGATTTTTTTCTATCAATCTTGAAAATGTTTTATTTTAAGAAATGCTTACTGGTACTGCAGGTGCTTGATGTAGCCCTCTATAAACCCAACAGGCTGACGACTCAGGCTTTAGCCGAGTTCCAACTCATAGTTACATCTGCAGGAACAGTGACAGTGTGCACACATAATTTCTTACCACTGTAGAAGCGAATCATACAGCTGAGATCAGAGTTTGCTGCCTCTTCCTGCATTCTGAGAGGATCATCAAAACCCAACCCAGCCAAGTAGTCATACACAATCTGAAGGGGTTTTTCTGTGGGCTCCAGCCTCCTGTCAAAACATACAAGACAGAAGTTTGAGAATGCAAAACAGATTAAACAAGACTCAGTACAGCTAAAGCATGAGGAATACTGACACACTGTCTGTTCTGCTCCTCTGAAAAGGTCTGGCAAGCACAGATTCTTGGGTCTCTGCTCCCTGCTTGACAAGCAGCACTTAAGAACTGCAGCACTTGCGAATTACATTGCATAAGAGAAAGAGCAATTGGCATAAGCCACACAATTCATGGTGAGTATTTCTATTTCATGATTTAAGGAGCACCAGGAGGAATCCATGACAAGACACAAAACCAGAAGTACCAAAAAAGCAGATGTCAAGTAATTAAAAAACCCTATGTATAATGCCTCAAAAATAGAAAAGAACTCTTACATTTTTATTCCAAATGCAGTTTAGAGCAAAGCACTTGAAGAATCCTCATGAAGAATCACTAAAAAAACCCAACACAAATATAAGACAAATTTCCTGCTCTCTTCAGCTCACATCAGTGGCTAGATTCTTAAGGTTTGGCAACTCAACCAGTATATTTAAAAGGATGTTTTAGAACTATGGAAGAACACAGGAAGGACTCAGTGGCTAGCCTGAATTAACAGCAATAAGGGAAAGTTCTTGTGAAACATCTGATTTAGTATATTCAGAATGGAAAACATGTTTTCTGATCCTCTCTTATCACTTTTTCCAGAGACCCTGTATTGTGACTTTCTTCAATAAAAACAACAGTTTCTTGCCAAATTACAAGTTTTATTTTAGGAAAAAAAAAATTAGTGTAAAAGATTAAGCTCTGAAAATGTTGGGTAGGAGTTAAAATATATTGTTCCAATGGTCTACTCATTATCCAACATTAAAAATCTCCATTTTTAATCTAAAAGCGCCTAGCTTCAGATTACAGTCACTGGATCTCAATGGTCTCTTCTTTAAAAAGGAGTTTATAAACCATGTCACTAAACATTTCAAACTCTCTCTTCAATATAAGATACAAGGTACTTATAAAACTATTCTTGTAGTAGAGTGGGTCTACTTTTATTCAGAAGGATTTTTACCATCAATTTTTTTTTTTAGTTTATCCCTACTCTGTAAGCACTAACATGATTGTTCCCTGTATCCATGCACTGACTTCACAAAACCGCACATACACATTGGTTTAACTCAAACACTTTTCTGTTCTTGGATCAAGCCTGCTCTAGACTCATATCCCTCCAATGCACAAGTTTTGGCAACTTATAACCTTCTTCCTCTCCTTTGCAGTATTTAGTACACTTGTCTTTTACATAAATCTACCTAGCAATACTGAAAAGCAGTGTTTTCCAGGGAATACTGCGTGCTAAACCATCTAGAGGCATCAGCTGCACCGACTTCTCAGTACCCATCACTCTCTCCATTCACGCCCACCTGAGCTCTTACCTTTTCGCCACAGGTTATTAACAGAGCAAACTGAACAATGCAAGTTTACATTTCTTCCTTCAAACAGCTCCTCACCCAAAACAAGATGCTTACATTGAATAACAATTTCCAGTCTGTAAGATATTAGCCAATGAGTTTTACTGGTTTGTGCATTGCTTTTCTCCCCATGACATCAGAACACAGAACCTCAGGCATTTGGGGTAGGAAGGGCCTTTAAAGGTCACCTACTCCAACCATCCCACCATGGACAGGGACATCTTCGACTTGAACAGGCTGCTCAGAGTCCAGTCCAACATTTCACTGCAATGAATGACTAATACCTTTGGCAACCAAGCTCGAAATTTCGAAGCATCAAGACTGAATTTGCCAGGTAGGACCTGTTTTCCACTAAACTTTGTTGACTCGCATACAATATTTATACTGTGTGTCTTAATGGAAACATTTCATTGCTGTATGCACCAAACCTTTCCACTTCTTCTCATCTCTTCTTAAGAAGATTTCTGATTGTTTTAAATTATTATTTTAATTATTTCCACTATGACTGACAGCTTTACAAAAGTCATCAAATAATTAAGGCAGGACTGATTTCATAAAACATGCACCATTTACAAGTACCTAGTCATCCAGGCTTCCTTTGGAGTCACCAAGACACATCTCAAGAAGTAAAATGACTCAGGTATTTCAAGCAGATACATTGCAACTCTCACTTCACATACAGGACCTCTGGATCAGAAGAAGGATTACTCTCAAACAAAGTTTATTGCCTGAAAAGGCAATGTAGTTGATATGCAGCTGACCCAGGAAACTAGTTCTTACTGCTCAATGCTCACCAAGCCTGTTTAGGGCAAGTCTGTTCCACGGTTTTGTTTTACACAGAAATGCATCTACTTACTAACCAGAAGGCTGTATAACCCCTTTCCTCTCTCTTCAGAACTTGTCTGTTGGAGCACCTATTCACAAATAAGTTGATGTCAGCTAAGATGGAATTCCTGCACAAGAAGCATGAAAAGCTGACTTATTAAATGCTGTTTCTTTGTCTGTTTTGTGAGATGGACACGGGACAAGATTGGTTCAAAAGAGTGAAATGCCATCAACTCTTCTTTCTTTGCAGAGATTTCAAATTAAGAGAGTTCAAATTAAGGATCTCAGCCCTTTTTAGGACTTTCTGTCAAGATTTACAGCTCAGAGCCAAGCACATCTACAAATATGTAGCTAATGTTTATCTTATCACTTAATATTTTTTCCTATAGTGAACACAACATCACACTTTCAAAAGAGCTTTAGGAGGAAATCTTCAAAGTTACAAACCTGCGTATCTGTCTCTTGTAACAGGCAAGCTATTAGAAACTGGAATGAATAAATAATAGATTGCACTGAACAATGCTGACTTACTGTGCAATGCTGTGCACCTGACATACTGTATACCCTTCAGCACAGAATCCACGAATATGAGAGATTTGACTGGCTCTCCAACTACGTTGCCCAGGTTTCCCTTGACTACCCCTAGACTCCTATTCTTCTGCTGTTAAAGCCTTATGCTTGCCAGGAAACAGCCTTTCCAGCATGTGATGCATGGCTCAGGAATGTTAAATGCTTGAGAGTCACTCACAAAAAGAACGTATCAAGTAGTCTGCACCTAGACTTCCCAAGGAAAATAACAAACAAACACTCAAACTTTACTATTTGGTTGCTGAATGGATTGAGGCTTTTTTGTGCACACACTGAACCACCTACCTGTACATCAGAATTCAGGAAGAACAGTAATGAAGTAGAGGGACAATTTGTGTTGTATGAAAAGCACATAAGCCACAGTTGTACAGGCTGCTCAATGCTCTCTGGGGTACAGTGCTGTACCTTACCCTCCCAAAAAAAGCTGGATACTCTATTGTACCATACTTACCCTTCTGGAGATGAGATCTGCTTTTTTTCTTCACATCTTATACTTCAACAAGAATTAATACTGCAGGGTTTCAAAATGTTCATTTGAAAAACCCTTAATCTTCTTTCTTGTCCACATAAATCAAACTGATTTGCTCTTTGAAGTCATCAGATACAACACCTTTGGTTTTGTTTCTTTTCTATGAAAGCCATGTACAAAAGGAACATTGGTGGCAATATCTATTCAAGCTTAAGGAGACAGAAAAGCCAAAAGGAAGGAGCAACAGTTTCATTTCATTCCTGTTGCAACTGTAGCTCTCCATAAGTAAGGGTCAAGTTTTCAAACATTGGAAGTTTAAATTTTTGTTGTGAGCGGTATCCAGAGCAAAGAAGGTATCCATGCAATTCTTGTTTAACCCTTCCCTCTGCAGGAAGATATAATTTCTGGATATGAAGGGATACAAGTATCAAGAAAGATTCTGGCTAGGAGAAAGCTAAAGATCCTTGAGGTGCATTGTGGAGAAGAAAAAGTTCTTACAGAAACTGACTTGAATTCACAGAATTGAAAAGGAAACAGAATAATCACAAGGACATTGGTGAATATTTAGAATGAATACATAAAAGAGCTTCTGCTATTCTTCCATACATCTTTCAGTCTTCCAAGTCAGTTGCCAAACCAACATCTGCCATATTCTGGAAAGAAAGCCGCCTGCTGATATTAAAAGGGCAAAGAATTCAGAAGCTGTGTGGGAGACGCACGTAGTTATGGTAAGATGTGATCAGATATTTAACGAAGTAATTTGTATAGTGAACATGCTAATAAAGTTTGTTCGAGGAAGGAATTATATCAACAGGTCATGAAGATAATCTTGAGCACTCTGTCATCTTCCTGTGGACATGCAAGTAGATACCACTCAGGCCTGCTTCCTGCTACTAACACAGGTGTTACTGAAGCAATACTGGTAACTCCCACTTCCCTACCAAGAACAAGTCCAGCGGGAAGTATTTCAAGGATCTCTTCTGTGACAAACACCCTCTGAGAATTACAAGGAATAGACACATCATAACCAAGAACTCTTTACAAAATTTTTGACAAATCTTGGCCAAGACCTAGACATAACAAGAGGCAAAAGGAGTGTGAAGTAATAATTTACAGCTTAGTACTTGCTTCCAAAAGGCTGGCAGCAATTTGCTGCCAATTTGCTAATCCAGTGCAAAATCTGCTACAAATCAAAGGCAGGCACAGCTAGCTCACATGAGAAAAGAGAGGTTGAAAAGAATTCAAATGCAAAGCCACTTCAAAAGCAAAATAAAGTCAAAATGTATCTCTCTGAACACATCTACAAGCTTTACCTAAGCTTTTTCATTATTTGCACGAATGGCTCTGCTCTTCCTTAAAAATGCTGGAAAATCTGCTCACTATTAGGGTCCAAAACATGCCAACTTCCTTACAAAATTTTCAAGCAAGAAATAGAGGTTTTCAGCTGCCTCAGTGGCAGTCTTCAAGTGTCCACCTGTTCTCATACAATGTTTCTAACTAATCCATCCCTAATTCCTGTAACCCTGACCAGGGTAAGGCAAATGTTTCTAAATAACCTTTTCCAACAGCCAGTTTTAAACACGTCCTGTTTTCTCTGCATCTCCCACCACTGGCGTTCCCACCCCATTACAGAGCAAACATACATCAGAGTTTTAAGATTTGGACACATGCGACCTGTAACCTTCATTTCACATCAAAAATCCAGCTACTAGCTCTGTTCAAAATGCACTGTATCCACTGCTTAGCCTTTAAGCAAGGAGACCACAGCAATTATATGCCCCTGAGAACAGGAGTGGCAATTTTATAACTGAATCTTAAGTCTGGAACAATCAGTGCAAAGTTTAAATACTAACAAACTGAATGGGAGCTTCTAAACCTAGAGGAGTCCATAACACACTCACAGCACAAAGTTCACGCACATTAAACCCTGAACCATCTATTTTCAGCCCAAATTGACTTTTGACATAAAACATAGCATCTGATGCTTCTTTATATAACCCTTGCTACAATTTCTGTCTGCCTTTAATTATTTAGCTGACAACTATTCTCAGCAAAAAAATTTACTCACACGTAAATATTAAATGACATAATTGTGAAAGCACCTTCTTTTGCTACTCAAAGTAACTGTTTATAGCCTCTTAAATAGGTTGTCCGGATGCTAAAATCCTCATAACACAGAACATAACAAAGAAATATATGAACAGGTGTCTCTACTCAGAAAATGAGGACATATTTCTGGCTGGAGCAACAGTCAAACCCTCCCTGTTAAAACACATAACTACGAGGTGTGTAACCTCTATTTCACCACTATCTAATTTTTATGAAGTGCATGACTCAAGGCCATACCTGACTGCCAGGTACTACCTCTGCCTGTTCCCTACCTGCCCTGCCAACAGGCACAGGGACACGGTGAACAAGAGCATCGCAAACCTATACAAAACATTTCTCAGTCAGGTTTATCCTTTTTCGGCCCTCACCTGACCAGGTCTCCATGAAGCTGCAAAAAGAGGGTTTTCCTCCCTTCTCCGTCACAGATCTCCGAGGCTTGGGTGTCCACTGTGCAGAGGACTAGGCGCAAGTCTGAAGGAGCCGCAGCTGCTGAGTCTCTTCCATAAACATACACGCAGCCTCGTCCGACGTCCCCTTTCAGCCAGGTCCTCTCACGGGAGCCAACTCGACTCCTGCTCTGGCAGCTCCTGCTCCCGGTGCGCTTGGCGTTCCTCTGCAAGGCAGCCCAGACCCCAGCGTCAGCAGCGCCCGAGGCCGCGCCCGCGCTCCGACCCGGCCCCGCACCGGCCCGCTCCGCACAGGCAGCAGCCACTGGCATGGGAAAGACCAAGGTCGCAGCGGGCAAGTCCCCGGCGTTCCGCAGCCGACTCCTCCCGACCCCACCGAGTCTCCCGGAGCGGCGGAGGCCTCGGTCCCCTCCTCACCTTCAGCACCCGGATGCCGCCGCGGGATCCGGCCCGGCACCCTCGTGTGCCGCCCGGCGCCGCCGCCTCGTCCTCCTCGGGCTCCTGCGCCTCCCTGGGCCCCAGCGCAGCACCCGGCCCCGCACCCGGCCCGGCCTCCCCCATCGCCGGCCACACCGACACCCCGGGCCTCCGCGGCCCCGCCCCGGAAGCGCACGGGCCGTCCGGCCCAGGCCCCGCCCCGGCGGCGGGAGCGGCAGCGGCGCGGCCCCCGGAGCCGCCCCAGGCCGGGCCCCGCGAGCTCCGTGCCTGCCTGCGTCCGTGTCTTGCACCAGCGAGAGGTGCCGAGTGCGAGCCGCAAACCTGACGTGAACGCTGCAAACGCACCTGTCACCGCTCGCCCTTCACACAGCTCCAGCGTCTGTCACATCAGCGGCCCGCAGCCGGAGGCACGCTGCGCAACAGCCGAACATCCCCGTGCTCCTGCTGCCCTGCAGGTACAGCACCTAAGCTCTGCCAGTCTTAACTAGTGGCTGCTGCTAATAACGTCAATAACTACTAGTGACGTCATCATCTACCAATGACATCATCATGACACAGTTTGCAAGAATTTGAGTATGTTTTAGGGCAGCCACTGCTTCTGCCTGAACAGGAACAAGAACATTTAAAAAAAGCTACCTTCCCCACAGTGAAATTACGCGTCTGAAAAGACATGAAAGATCATCTAGGGAAATGTGACTGTGACTAGAAAACACAAAGCAGGCACACGTGGGGACAGAGATATGGTGACAATCCTTGTCCAAGTGTCACATGGAGTATGAAAGGGGTCTTTTACCGAGCTCCCAGAGCAGGCTCCAAACACATTGCTTGTGTTCAGATCCCACCACACCTTTCTAGCATCTAACAAGCACTGCTGCTTGTAACTAACATGCTCCCTGCTCAGCATGGTATTCCATAGGAAGTGCTCAAGCGTTTTGCAACTGTCCACTCATCTTGGTCTCCAAAATTTCCTGTAAAGTTTTTTCAAAACATGGCCTTATTGTTTCGCATCATCTGACATTGCAATGGCCAAACATTAAGAATCAAAACATTCTATCCCACTGTATTGGTAGAAAGCAACAAGGCAATTTTAAATCATTGAATATTGACTCATTTTATTAGTCACTTCATAATTTGTTTCAACCAAAAGACAATACACACAGCAGAAGTCTAATGCATCCCATGTAAATGTTTACATCTGTTAAGCTCCTCACTCACCTATTACTCAGCATTTACCTAAATTTTTCACATCTCAAAAATAGGTCTCCAGAATTTTGAGTGCCAACAGGTGCCCTGCCTCAAATGGCATGTTTTTCACTTTAAATTTGGTGGGTTTTTTGGGGATTGCTTTTTGTTTGCCTTTTTTTTTCTCTGTACTAAGAGGTGGGATGGGGCTCTCTGTAAAATTTAAACTACAACATCACGAAAGAAAAAGGAATATACAGGAGTAGAGTGACAGTTAAAAGGGAAGCAGTCCAGCAGCTCCTTCCCTCACGGCCTCCAAGTAGAAAATGAACACATAAAAGTGCACCAGCGTCAGTGCTGCTGCGGCTCACAGCTAGTACCAGCCTTAGGCAAGGCACTGGTACCTTTCCCAGCTGCTTCAGTATCTTCTGAATTGTAGATCCAAGGTACTGTAAAGACAGTCCCCTCACTGCTATTGCTTCAGTAAGTTGTTCAAGGCCATATTTTGTGCCATCAAGACCTGGACAAAGTCGACTTTTAGGACCTTTCCATGTCTCCTCTCCCTTCAGGCCCATTATGGCCACTATTGTTTCTGTCATTTTTTGACTCAAAATACATTCACTTGAAAAAACAGACATCCAGTGTCTCCCAGTTCCAAAGCCTCCCATGCAGATACTAGTAATATTAGCCATGAAGTCCGTAACTTGCTGCCTTTATATCCCCCTTACACTGAAGCAAGAAAACGTTGACCAGACCTGTAAGAATTGTTGCATTTCAACCGGCGGGAAGAGGACTCAGCGTATGCTTGGAGTGCCTCAGACGTGCGAGTGCTCTCCAGAGGAAAACCACAGCAGCAGCACAGAGCTCGAGACGCACAGGGGGGTCAAGGAGCAAGCAGCATTATCTGGTGTTGCAGATAGGGGAAGATGTGAAGCCTGGCCTTCCTTCTTGTATAATGTCAGCATCCATCCCTTAGTGAGGAGGGGAGAGCTCCAAGGACAACTGGAATGTTTGGCTGCTACAAAGGAGTACTTCACAGCCAAGGGATGGCTTCCTGCAAAATGTATTTTGGGTACACGCATTGCCTCCTCCAGCTCAACTCAAATACAGGACGAAATGCCCATTTCCCCACAGACACAGTGCAAGGGTGGCTGAAGGAGCCAAGAACACAGAAAGAATTCACCCCGCAAGCTTACCAGAGACGGACAGCTGCTCTAGGGGACAGAAAACAAGCATGAAAACAGGGACAACATACACTGTTCCCAACTCTGCTGCAACAAACTGGCCAGGCGAGAGACCATTTTCTTCTTCCTTCCCATCTAATTTCCTGTACCAGTGCTCTTTCCCAGCAAAACCAAAGGGAGAGCGAGGCATGCTGGCTTTCAGTACGAGTGATCATGTACAACTCTGTGAAGAGAATGGTAGAGCTTATGAGGAGTTCAAGAACCAGGACAAAGACTTCCCATTAGCTTTTTATCTGGGATGCTCTCAGAGCTCACTGGGGTATGGATTTAACATGCTCAGTTTTCAACATTGAGTTTGAGATAGCGGGGCAATGAATAACCACAACTGCACTGAAAACGATTAAGCTAAATGCTCAGCACCAGAAATGGACCCTGATTCAGCCATTTCCTGCAAAACTGCCTGTTTCCTGATGCTTTCAGCTAAGCATAGGATATATCTCTCCACTGATAGCCAAGGCATGACCCTACCACAACCCAAAATTAATTTTAAGGAAATCATACATTGTTCTTCTAGATTTTATAACCCTACACTGATGCCAGTACCAAAAAAAAAAAAAAAAGCTCTTTGCTAATCCGAAGGCCCAAACCAGTTCAATCAGTAAGGTAGCAAAAATACCCTTCAAGAGAAGATAAATTTACTCCACTACCATGGACCACCACTTAAATTAGTGTCAGTCCTACATTATATTGCTTAATGAAGCCAGGACCAGACCAGGCTGAACAACCCTCAGTGCCCTCCTGCTCCTAATTCAAGGGCAGAACAAGTATTCAGTTTTCCCTAAGTACACTGTGGATCACTCTTGCAGTATTTTTGGCAAGTACTGGAGGCCAGTATTAGCCCTTCTGTGGACACAAGAAGCTATGTCTAAGCTTGCACTCAGAGCACTCAAGGATTTGCAAAGCCCTAGAACAGAACTGAAGCAGAAGTGCCCAACCTTCAGCTTACCAGCACACTCAAAAATGAAGACCGAAGAGATATCGTAAGATACATCCTAAAGAGCACTGAACATCTGGAGTTTGTCACACTGTGCTTTTGTCTGTCTTACACATCACCTCCTAGAGACTGCCCAGAACTGCACCACCTCCCAGGAGTTCTTGCAGGGACATCCCTGAACACAGCTTTCTGTGAGCTCAGAGGGGTACCAACCAGACCTTGCATCTTTGGATCCAAATACTCAAACAACTGGCTTGTGTTCAAAACACAGTTTAGTTACTTTCAGTCTGAATGTGAACTGGCACATTAATTCTGAAAGGGGAACAAGGATCAACTGAGTAAAAAAATGGGAAAAGATCTCTTTAAACTGCATGGTCTTTATTTCAGTGCCAATATTACAGATACAACACAAATATCTCAGTCAGAAGTAACTCAAATGGAACCCAGGGGGTCTACAACAGGCTCTGGAAATAAAATTGGGGAGAAGTTCTGGAATAACCAGGAAGAGCAACTTTGCAGCATAGTCTCAGATGAGTCTCCCAGCAGGAGCAAAGCCCTTGCCCAAAAACTGATCTACAAAATTGAATGTGTCTTTTCTACCCATAAACCACAATTAACAGGTTGAAAGACTTTGAAACCGTATGTGGTAGAAAACCAGCTGCTCCTTTTATCTCTACATCTCTCATAACTCACTTCACTGTCTGGGGAAGCTACAGAAGACTCTGAATCTGCATGGCTGTGCCTACTGATGGAAGGAAAGAAAATTCAGGTGTAAGGGCTTCATTTCCAAGTACAGCACCGAAGCAATTTTACCAACTCTTACCAGCACCTCTTCTCCTGCACTGTGTTCCAGGTTTGCAGATGAACTCCAAAGGCCTCACTTGCTCTTGGTATGCAGCACATAACTAAGAAGTGCGTGTATACAATAATGCACTGAGTAGGTCATAAGAAGCCTCCAGCCCCTTAAGACCTAGAGGATACAAGAAGAAAGACGAAGGGCAGCCTGGCATTCCTCAAGACCCCATCTGAGTCCCAGATGAAAATGCCTGAAGGAATCCAGCTAGAAATGAATGACAACACACCTTACCCACCCCCGGGAAAAAAAAGACAGCAGAAAGAAGGAGCAACTGCTCACTTGCTGCAGAGAGAAGAAAGTTTCCCTGCTAGAAATTCCAGACTTCTCTTCCAACCAGGCTATGTTCCTTTTTGAGGGGGAAGGAGGGTGGGGAAGGGGAGAAGGGAATGTTGCTTCTGGCTGTGAATGCATGTGTGAGGGAGTGCACAGTAGCCTCCACAAGCCACCAGCCTCATCAGCAGAGGAGAGGAGATTAATCTTAACAGATATGCTTCAGAGTCAGCAATCACTTCAGGAAAATTCCTCCTCATCAGCAGGTCTCTTTCGTTCCCCATGCCCATGGTGCAGTTTGGGGGATTGCCAAGGATCACAACCTTCTTCCCAGAGTTCTTTTGATTGGGTGGGATGAGAATAAGAATGGTGCCAGAGCCTCATTGCCAAGACTGAGGGGGGAAGTTGTTCACTTCTGCTAGATCCTGCATTGCTGAGCCCTTGTGATTATATGTCAACTTGATCCGCATACGTAGTTGTTGCTGCAAGAGAAAAGGGGGAAACAAATAAACACAAAACAAATTCAGGTCTTCATTAAAGGTCAGAGACTCCTACTTCATCCAGTTCCCCTCCCCTACCCCACGAATACTCAACACAGATTTTTCCTGACCGCAAGAGCTTGTTGGGAGTGTGTGCGGGGTGAGCTATGACACTACAGATAAACGCTCCATCTGCTGGGACATTCATTGGTCACTGTAGTTCTCAGATCAGGTACAAGCTCTTAGAAAAGATACAGCACAGCTTCTACCCATGTTTGCGTCTGCACTGGCCCTGCTCTTCCAAGCACTGAAGTCCTTAAATACAAAATTAACCCCCTTCAAATTCCAGTTAACAACAGAAGAAAGCAGGTGGCAGATCTGTACTCTGCTGCACTGCACTTGGGCCTGCAGGGAGAGATGGGCCATCCATCAATCCATTCAATGCAGCAGTCTGGCAACTTCAAGTACTGCACAGCTCAGCAGCACTGTGAAGGAAATAGCCTATGAAAGACTGGAAACAAATTCTCCAAGAACATTCCCTTCTGCTGGAACTAAACGATGTAATAGCTCAGAGATCGCTTTACACTGTCATTTGGCTGTCACCTAGATACTAGGTGGCCCTTAAAAACTGCTAGAGTACAGCATGCTCCAGTCAGGTTCCCTATTTTCTCTCTCTCAAAAAATCCAAAAATAAAAAGCCAGAAGTTGACCATTTCTGTCTCTTTTCTCCACACCTACAGACAAATACACAAAAGGGATAGCAGAGGGGAAAAAAGAAAGACAATGACTGCTTCAACGAGGCTTAGGATAAAGAAGTTATGCTGTATGACGAATAGATCAACATCATCACTGTCACTTCTTGGTTTATTTGTCATTTTGGAAAACTAGCCATTAGTTTCAACCCAGCATGATGGCTTTATTTTGCACCCCTGTACTCTGAAGTGTTCCTAGGATTTGTGGCATTCCTACAAGAAAGCAAGCCACTACCCTAGGTGTGTTTCACCTTGCAGGTCCCATCCTGGCACATTACAGTAAAACACCTAAATCCTCCGAAGTTCAGAAAATAACTTTCAAGGTGATCTTTGAAAGGTGCTCTACAGCATCACAGAGAAACTGGTATCAGATGTATAATTAGTCTTGTGGCTTAATATAGGCAGAGGTGAGCAGACTACATGGAAATAACGGGAGATGCATGGAAACCACAAAAACTATGCACTAGAAGACTGACATTCAGTAAAACTTGGGCTGAAATTTGTGATTTTTTTTCTCACTTGCACATTAATCTAGCAAAAATACTTTACATCTAGAGCCGTACATCAGTTTTAACCTATGAAAAGCTCCCGATGTTTTAAGTTCCTAGAGTCATTTAGGATCATAAGGCTGTTTCAAAGGAAGAAGTATGATCTCAATTTTTTTTTCTTTCTGATGCCATCTGAGCACTTGCAAACCCTCTTAAGGAGGAGTTGTGGGCCACATCCCTCCCTCCTCCTCAAGTCTGTTGTGTCCCAGTCTTGAAGCCTGTCTCTGAAGGCTGTAAAACAAATGGAATTACAATTACATCACACCTAAAGATTCTTTCCATCAACTATTTAAAACTACACTCATCACATTAAAAACAAATGAGACCACTTAACAGACAATTTTAAGAATATGGATCAAGTTGCTTTTTTGTGAACAAATGCTGAATATCTTTACGTGTCAAGATGCTTGCCTTCCAAACATCACTTTTACAACCCATAGAAACACTAGGTTAAGCTCCTCTGGCCATTTGAAAACTTAACAACCACTGCAATGCAAGGTGTGAATGACTTCAAGGTAGCAAAGCTATTAAACTGTTTCAGCAGTATAACCAAATAGAAGTCCAAACCTGTGTCCAGAACCTCCTGTGTTTTTCATTACTTTTTCCTAACTCTAACCAAAGTGACTGCCATGAAAAACATATCATTCACTACCATCACTCCCTACCTCTCATCAGAGATGCATCCCTGACTTGCATTAAATTAATGATTACAAGACAGTACCTTCAACAATTTTTCTTGAAATCACTCACCTTCTGTGGATTCAGGACTTTAATGACCTGTGTGATGGTCCCAGAATTAAATGCAGGGATGACACTGCTGCTGGGAGACAGAAGCTGCAGCTGGAATGTCTGAAAACAGGGCAAAAAGAAAAAAATCGGATGTGCAATCAAGTAAGAAGTGACTTGTTTGCACTGAAAGAAAGCAAGGAAAATTAGAAGTTCAGTTTCTGGCTCTGAATAATCAGTTCCTGAATTCCCTATCTTGTTGTTTTGTAGGAACAACACATTCACTGGCCCACCTGCTTTCTAAGCAAGTAGGATCCAGGTAACACAAATAATAGAAGATGAGTGCTTACTGCAGTGTACCAAGATCAGCAGCAATGCTTGCTTCCATGTGTTGCACTCAGAGAAACAGTCAGCACACCTCTAACCTCAGGAGGACTGTCCTTTCTCTGATTCCTTCCTATAGTAGGTGTAAAACCTACCTGAATCCAAGTTAGAGGAATACTGGTTCCTAGAAGTGAATGTATTTTCCCAAATTTGGAGAGCATTCCAGTAACATGCTGCTTCAATAGTTTGCTCTGCCATAAACTAGGCAATATCTGTCACTTGCATTTTGTGCTGCAGCTGAGTGCAAGGGGAAACAATTCACTTTCTTAAATGAGGAATGCCATTAATCACCATATTGTGACTCATTTATATTTTTATAAGCAACTAATAGCTTCAAAAGATTTTTTCTTTCATGCATTCATAGCTCCACAAAACAAAGTATATTTCTTAGAAATTAATAATAAAGGGTATGGTTATTGTCTCCAAAATACTGATTTTCACCTATATGTTTTTTTTTTTGACTGAGGTTTAGCCATTTTTCTAGAAAGTGGTGATTTCAAAACACAATTTTGTCTAAGCAGAAGTGGTCTAATTTGACTGGAATCTGTGTTTTATTGCATTTACAACATGTAGTTTCAGACTGGAAAGAGATGTTCACTAAGAGAAACTTGGAATAGTTCTCAGCCTTGTTTACCTTACAAGTTTCTATCTATGTGAAAGCGGCAATTAAGAAATGTTTGCAACTGGCCCTTCAGCTTCTCACTGTAGTTGCCCTAAGTGGCTCTACCTTTGGAACTGCAGCTTGGAAAACAAAATCTGTCATATCCAGCTCTGTGCTGTTGGAGGCCTGTATCGTGATTACAGTGACACTAGGGTTGGTGTTCGACCTCTCAAAGGTGAAGTCAATCTTCAGCCCATTCTTGTTGTATGCAGTAATGGAGGGGATTCCTGTAGGAAACAAAAAAGCAGCAGACCTACAGAATCTGGAGATCATTCTCAACATCATAGTATGCACTTACTTTATCCCAGACTCTTCTGAAAATTAAACACACCCCCTTGTGCTCCAGTATCTAAGGCACATTTTCAAATTGCCTCCCTTTTATTTTTTTTTATTATTCCTTGTTTCCTCTTCTAGTTAGGTGTTGGGGCACTTCAGGCAAAGGATTTACAACGTCCCTAACCTGCAGCAATATCATTGAAGAGAGGCTGACATGTAAGTCCATCGAGCAGGAACGGAGGCTGTGCTATCTGGGGTGCAGGGGCAGATACTGGAGAACCTACAAGAAATGTTGAAGGATTAATACTTTGCTGTCAGGAAATGAAGAGTAATTACTCCTTTGCCAAAGACTGACTGCTGCATTTTGTATTTCTTTATGAAACTCTATAAATTACCTGTGTTGTCATCCTCCCCTTCTTTGCTTTCAAGAACTAGCAAGTATTCAAATGGAATTAACTCCTCACATCCCACAGTCCTCTCTGGAAAGGCTCACAGCATTCCCAGACTCAGGTGTGAAAATGCTCAAGTCTCACCAGCTAATCATGCAGAATCAACCTGCAACTTCATTCCCTGACTCCCACCTGTATGCTAGTATGGATCTTGGTAACAGCAAGTGTAAAAACTAGGACTTAAAAGACAATTAAGAAGTAGCCCACCCTCATCCCATCCCAGGGATGAGAATGTAGACTTCTAAGAAATGCAGCCTGCTCACCTGTTAGGTTGAGGTCTCCCAGGAGGTCAAGCAGCTCCCCACCAGCAGTGGCTGGCTTGCTTGTAGGTGCAGTGGGAATTACAGGTGTTATATCACTTCCCCCCAACAAGTCCAATAAATCATTTGCCTAATGAGAGAGTGGATGTAATACTTACATATATTCAACATTCTGCGACTTTTCCTTGCAAGTGCAGTGTGTTCTATTTGTTCTCAAACTGAAGACCACCAGAGCTGATGGCCAGTTAGAGGGGTTCTTAGTTTCACTGTGATCCCATGCCCCACAAGAAATCTAGTTTCCATGCTTGAGGGACTGAAGAGATAGGGAAGGACTGGGTTCATGCACATTAAGTTTGGGGAATCACAAAATATTCTCAGTCAGAAGCGACCCACAAGAATCGTTGAGTCCAACTCTAAAGTGAATGGCCCATAAGGGGATCAAACACACAACCCTGGCATTATTAGCACCATAACCAACTCATACAATCCCACCCTGCTCCTGGGCCTACAATGACCCGTCCCACACACCTGTTCTGGACATTAGAGCCATCAGAGCAGAGCAATGATACAATCATCACCAGTCAGAAACAGCAAAGAAGCAGAGAGGGCGAGGGAGATGGTCTCAGCTTGCTGTTGGCACAGGCTGGAACGTGGTCTGACAGGCAGGGGAAATTTATCCTGGGTCAGTTCCTGTTACCTGGTTAGCAGGCTGCAATCCAGAAGGTGGAGGTTTGGTTTCCAGTACTGCTGTCTCTGTCTCTCCATTGGTCTGTACAATCTCAGCAGGGCCATTTGTGGTGACTTTCTCCATTACTGGCATTCTCTCAAGAAGTGCTGGCCTGAAAGAAGCTGACATAGTTACACTGTGCCATCTTCCTGGATCCCAATCCAAATATTTAGACATTCAAGAGCCGATATATACGGGAGAACCTGCCTTTTCCCTTGAGCTCCAACACAGGGGAACTGCAAGACTGCATGACAGTTTGAGGTGGTCAGAAGCAATCCCTGGCATTCTGTGCCAGTGCAAATACACTAGTTGATAGCTAGAAGACAAACAAGTCCTCCTGTCTCCTGCTTCCCCCCAGCACCTGACAAACTCAGGTTCAAAGCAGGACAAATGCTTTGGCAGAGACAATCTCTGACCATAGAACAATAACACAGGATACAGTAAGTCCTTAAAACACTCGCTAACCCTGTAGAAGGGGAGGGATTCTAGCTCCTCTGTAACCTTAAGAAAAATCAGCAAAGTTCTCACAGCACACTGTCATCCACAGGAGATCAGAGCAGATAATGATCCTTTTCAAACACCAAATCTCTATCAGCACTTACCTCATGTGATCATATTTCTTGAAAAGTGCATTATATTCCACAGCTCTCTGCTGTAGCTCCACATCAATGCTGCTGCCATAGATGGAAACCACCTTCTTAATGCGACTGTTGGGGGCAAGGGAAAACAAACACACCATGGAATTAGCAACAATAAGCAAGGGATTAGCATGTGTCATCCTGAAGATGCTACTGAGTGTCTTTTCAACAGGAGTCCACATAACTCATGCAAAACAGCAGTATCCATGTAACATCCATATATGAACTGTCCCTTCACAAAAACATCAGCAGGTGATTAATACACTACTTTAGGGTATAGCATAAAAAAGCTCAACTACCCACACTGAGAAGTGTCCAACAGGAAACAAGGCTATTTTTCTCTCCATCTTCCAAAAAAAAAAAAAAAACCCAGAAAGAACAGTCCACTGAAACTAAGGAGTTTTCAAGAAACAGCAATGTCGATTAAGTCCCCACCCAGCAGAGGGCATCCCTAGAGAAAACAGTACCCACAGCAGATATCTTCCACCCTGTGACCAAAGGAGGACTGTAAAAGCCAACAACTAACATGATGACTCTTGTAAATCACAGAAGCAGAACATGTTCAAGGAATACTCCTACTGAAGACAACTGACGTCAGTATATTTGCAACAAAGCCCTGTGCAGTATACCACCAATGGGAACTCACTTGACAGTGCAGGTGAACCTTGTGGAAAGCTTCATGATGGCAGTGAGAGCATAGCCTCGTGTCACAGATGCAGACATATTAGATATCAGGACGCTTTCTAAAATATCAAGAACTTCATCCTCTGTTACCTGAAAAGGTACAGTGAGGTTAGGCTAAGACAGAGAGGAGCTTGCAGCAAGCCTTCCAGACCACAATGTGTCTCTTGCCTAACGGCCATGTCACACTCCTCTGCAACTCTGAGCCTGTAACATTATGTTCAGAGTGTGAGAGACATGCATCCAGGTGGAGATCTTATGGTATGAGTTTTAAAACACAGTTCCCGTTTCACACATTGAAGAGCGGGTTTATCACTGAAATACACTAAGACCCTAGCAGACTTCTTCTGAATCAGCTGGCACTGAAACCCCACCATTCTGCCAGTTGTAGCAACACTCCACACATCCAGTATTTACACAGTCCACGCCAGCAGCAGGTGAAGGAGATTCCTGTCCACGGTCCATTGCCATCATGGACACCAGTGCTAGGGAACTGCTGAAAGCACTCCCTTCACCTAGCCAGCATCAATTTGGTCCAGCCCCAGCCAGGTGTCCAGTTGCAGTTCTTTCCTGAAGTATACCTGTATTGGTTCCTCCTCTTCACACTGACCGGACACCAGAAGATCTCCATACTCTCCTATGCACCAGGAGGCAACTTGTACCAGGGGTTGCTGTTGGAAGAAAAACCAGAGAAGGCTAACAGATAAATGGCTGCCTGCACAATAAATTAAACTATCCACATTTCCAGGAGCAAGCTTAGCCTTCCACAGCAGAAGAAAGAGGAATATTTGATTCGATCAAGAATTCCACAAGAGAATTGGAGAAACTAAAAAGAACATGAACTTATAGAAGACATACCTGCTCAGCAGTCTCTCCCTTGGAGCCAGAAAATGTGATGTTGGCTTTCCCTGAGATGCTTAGTAAACATGCATAATTATTGCAGTACAACAACAGAACTGAAGCCAACCACATTTGGTTTTACCTGGGAGTAATCTCCAAGGATGGCTTTGTAGAGTCTCTGCACAGTGTAGGCATGCATCTCCACACTATTAGTTATTAACTGGATCAGATTAGGAACAGCATCATCACGAACATAACTTCCTGCCTGCAAGAACAATTGTTAGGTTTTACTATGGACCTTCTTAAGTAACACTCAGCAGCTGTGATACCCTTCACAAAACCACCTGATGCATCTGGAAATAAAAACCAACCCTTTCATCCATGAGCACTTTACGGCTGACTTTGAGCAACCTCAGGGTGGCAGAAGTACAGGACAGCACATTTACCAACAAATAAAACTATACTCAGAGAAATCCACACTACAGATACCCTGAAACTGCAAGAGGACAGAGTGCAGACATGAATACAACCTTATGAGTTTATCTCGCAGACAAGAAAAGGCAATTATTTTACTGGAGAAAGTAAAATCTGAGAGCAATTCTCACAGCCAACCTTCTAACAGAAACTAATTCTCACTTCAGAAGACGAATCTACTTCTCTCTGTTTCAAGGTGACAAAAGAGCATCCCAGCCAGACTTACTTTTTGCTGAACTTCTCAAATTTGAACACTCATACTGCTAAATCTCTTCCTACTCCTTTGCCTGACAGAACACACTGCCTACCCAACTTACCAAGATCTCTTCCCTTGGTTGCCAAAGCATTGCTCCAGTTCCACCTCAGCTGTGATGTTTATACAAAAATTCAAGTAGATAAAGTGTAATAATTAAACCCAAAGAAGGTGAACTAGAAGGCTGTTAACACAGTTTCATTAACAAGTTTTGATAAACTCAACTTGGAGTAATTCCAAGAAACTCCTTCACCCCCTTTCTCTTTGCAAGTCACTCCAGGCTACATTCACTCTCTTCTGAAAGGACTGTATATTGGAATCAGACAGTACAAGAGATGTCCTTAGATGCTAGTGTGATTACTTCAGTAGAAACACTGCTACACAGTTACTCCCGTGTGTTTCTGAAATAGTACAGTTCTTCTAAAAAATCACTCAGTGACCCAAGGCAGCCAGTCAGAAATATGTAAACTCAGTAAATGCGACTATCATAAGTACACTTCCTCTATGTATTTTAGCATTTATCTGCCAGCCTTTAGAACCATCTCCAACTTGATGGTAACTTCCTCCAGAATTAAAAACATTTTATGTAGTCGCACACAAGAGAGGCAATTTCACTTACCGTTGTTAAGACTCTCATAATTGTGTCTATGTGCCAGCGCTTGGAAGGAGCATATCTGACAAAATTAAGAAAACAAGTTAGAGCAGTAAGTGCCAGTCTTCAACACCAGCAAAAAACCCAGCATCATCAGAACCCCCCCTTACAGTTACTTCCTGGCCCATTGCTTCATGAGGAAGAACACCAATACTGAGGGAGGGCTACAACTGACAAACCACACATAAATTAGTGAACAGAGAAGAAATGAATCAACACATTCTCTCTTGGGACCAAGCAGAGAGAGAAACAACACACAAGGTGTTCACAACCCCAAGGATGTACCAAAAATTATGAGCAGGTAAAACAATGCCATACTTTTCAGCTGCAAGAAATATTCCAGATGCACAGTCTGCCTTGAACTCTGGTTCACAAGAATCTAGGAAATACAGTAACTCCTTCATCATTCCACGAACATTGTTCCCATTAACAAGAGCAAAACTCAGTTCCATCGCACGCCTAGGGCAAGAGACAGAAAACCAATCAAGTAACTTTACCTAGTGAAGGATGTAAAAAAACCTGAAATCTAGCTACAAAAATGCATTTAACTTTTAATTAAGTAGAGATCAATACTTACTAATCCTGTGAGAACAGCCCTCCACATTTAATGTGCAGTATTTTTTTGTTTATAGGCAGACAAACATCCACTCTCCAAAACATTAAGGGGGAGTGGGGCTACGGGATGCTCTAGAAACACCTATCCATATGTTAAAGATAGCTTAAGGCTAGCAATATCTTTCAGCAGCCAGAGTCCAACATTAAAATCTGACTGTCCAAGTGTAATTGAATAGTGGTCATTTCTGACACACAACTGTTAACAATTAAAGCATGCCACAGCATATTTTCTCCACCTTCAGGGATCCAGAACAGACCTATTTCCAATTCCATATATTAGAGATTCAAATGTAGTTGAGATTTAAAATATTAACTGAGAAGCTTTACTGTATCCAGTTGAATAAACTGGATACAGTAAAGCTTCTTATACTGTAGTACAAGATTTCTAGAACCCAAATCTACCCTGATATTTTTCATTCCTCCTCACCACAGATGTGCTGACACCACAACTACTCAGAGTACTAGCTCCTTGCTATTCCTTTTTGTGCTCATTGAGAGCTCAGAAGCTACTCCCAGGCCCTTCTATTTGAAGCTTCTGTAGTTGACTTTAGCACAGGTCTCTCATTCTTCTGCCTTTTTTTTGAATGAAGACTACTAACTTCAGATGTGATTGATTTCTGCACAACTTTGCAACAGCTGTATTCAAATGCATTAAAACAGGCTCGCTAAATAACCCTGAGTGAATTTTAATGTGGTATTGGGCACACACAATTTGTTCTCAAGAATCTGAGAACATCTAGACAACACTACTTCTCTACATTTTCCTAGTTATTATAATAATAAGGATTTTTACAGAATGGTGAATTGTAAATGTGTTACTTTGCTTTTTACCCAGCTAGTACCCAAGGACTGAAAAAATATAGAGATATTCAGAATTAGGCTGGAAATACCGAACTAAATTGCTACCTTTTAACATTTAAATCTGTGTTTAGCTGATGACCTATACCAGAACTGTTTCCATCCTTCCAACTAATTCCCAACTCCCTTACACCTGTCCCTACTGGGTTACAAGTTTTCCATGTTTATGTTTAAAATTTCAGTCACTTTATAGCAGATATATCAATACTACAGCTGTGCAGGAATACAATGTTGTCTTCATGCCAGGCATTTATCGCAGCACATAATTGCTTACCTTCAGTCATATTACATGTTTCATTTCTGTCACAAACTCTTAAGCATGCAGTTTAATCAAATCAAGCAGAAAAAAATACTTTAATTAAATGGCAAAGCCATTCTGAATTACACTACATGGGCCAAATATGAACTGCATTAGTTACAAGATGATGAGCAGAGGCCATGCTTCAGATAACCAAGACCAAGTCCCTCAAGTCCTTGAAGCCTGCTGCCTGGGGACTCTGACATATATTCATTCAATATAATGCTTCAATGAAGACAGTGCATTGTCAGCAGCACGAGTGTCAGCATGGCAACATCGTGCTCTGCTGATGGATCACTCAAAGGCTTCATCCTCCAACAGCACTCAGACATGAAGCTCAGTTGTTTGTAGCATACCTGTGTTTCCCTAGCAGGTGCCAATAAAATGTTTTTGTTGCCTTCTACCCATAATCTAGATAAGGCTCTGCTGTTCCACAGTCGAGCCCCATTGCTGGCTCTGACACCACACAGCAATGGCAGCCTGACTTGCTGAGCATTTAAGATACAAATTTGTGGTTTGGGATAGATTGCAACTGTAAAAAGAGATTACATGATACCCAGTACACAGCAGTTCAAAGTAAGTTTCAGAAGCAAGACAAATCCAATTTCTTTCCTGTTTTACACATAGTCTGAGAAGAGCTGTTAAAAAAATCTACAGCTGATTCAAAGATGGGCATAAGTTTGAAGAATGACTATCAGAACGAGGATCTGTGGTGTATCTAATCAGTTTGAGCAGATGGAAGAGGTTGAACAATTCTGAAGGTATATTCACATGATGAGTGCTCTGTGGAATTCCGGCCTGTAGCAGAGAGATTCTATGAAATACAACAGGAAAAATGCTGCTGTCCCCAACACTGCATGCTGTATACTGCACTGAGCCCAGACCTTTCTTTGCAACCCAGTTACAGAAAGAATAATGAAGAGGAGGAGAGTTCTGAAATAAAGAACAAGGAATCAAGAGGCTGAAAGACTCAGTTTAGAAGAGCAGCCTTACACATACACTGTGCAAAGCGAGACCATACAGTTCAAGAATTTCCATGAGTGACAGAAACAGGAGGGAGTCACTATCGTAAAAGGAACATAACTAAAGTAATGAAAACTGGAAAAAATTAAGACAAAGTACAAGACAAAAAGTATTTCTCTGGTGAGAAGTAAGGTTGCAAACTTTCCCAATGCCTAGAGAAGCAGCAACACACCACTATTTGAATGACAAATGAACATCAAGAATGATAAAAGGATTTGATTTGTTAACTGATTGATTAAACAATTTGTGAAGTCTGAATTCTACTACTCCATAATACATCTAAGAATACATTATTTGCATGGCTTAACACTGCTTCAAGACAACATGGCACTGCCCATTCATCTGGGAAAGAAAAGCAACGTGGAGCACATCAGAGTAGCTTTGATCATAATCATAGTGCACAGAGGCATTCCATCTTGCTGAGAGCACACAAATCTAATCTCCAACTGATACTGTATTCTGGAAAAATTCAGGCAAACAGAATTTCTTTTTTCCCCATGAAATTTAACAGCAGCTTTCCAAAGAAGATGGAAGTACATCTTCATTATCTTGTTTGAATTATGGAACCGTATTATACCTTCACAGTAGTCTCACTTACAGTTCCCCAGGATTATTGTCATTTTCCCCTAAGCTCTGCTCATTTTCCACAGACTGTCAACCTCAAGAGTCTGTTTCACTGATAATCTGATTGATTACCTTTTAATGGAGACATCGAGATCCTTCAGGCAGTCCACAATGGTGCTTCGGTGCCGCTGTACTGCATTATGGTCTGTCTGCACAGTTTTCAACAATGACGTCAAAGCTACATATCTGCAAACAGGACATAAGGTCATCAGTTGCTGACAGTAGCCATTTAATTTCTACAGACAGACATTGTCCCCTTGCCCCAAACCTAGTCTTATCTTGCAACAGAATAGGATTCTCTTGCACTCGGTAATGAATGTCCTGTAGGGGACTTCCTGACCTACCTTCACAGGTGACCTACTACACTAAATTGTAACATGCCTAACAACACTGCTGTCTAGACAAGCAAGCACCTCTGCAGATCTTACATTCAAACCAGCATCAGTAAAAATTCCACGGCTAGAGTCTGGAACCCGTATCATGATTTGCTATCCAACTGCTTGGAGATAGTATTCAATCCTAACAGTTTCAGCAATTCCACATCTGATTAATAGTGACCAGAGCAGAACTAAACTCCTTTGTTGCCACCAGCACACAACCAGAAAAATCAGTCTTTGCCTAATTTATCAGATCTCCAATGCCAACTCTGATATGAATAGCACCACAGACCACTTGGGACAAGACAGGAAAAAATGTGGACCTGATTAAGAAATCACATGTTGAGAAACAGATCGTACACAACAACTTATCAACTAAGAAGGGCAAGACCACAGATGAGATCTGCATAGAGAAAAGAACGCACCAAGAAAGAAGCAAGCTCAACAGCCACACTAACCCCAAGAGCAGTGATCCCAACATGGTCTCCTGGAAAGCTTTACTTCAGCGTCATCTTTGTGTAATTGTTTCTCATACATTTTAAATTGGGTGTTGTCAAAACACACTTTGTACAACTTACCTAATATTTTTGTCGTTGTTTAATAAGAAACGGCCTAGGATGTTAATGGCTAAGACCTGCAGAAAGAGTTAGGGAAGGTCAATGATCTAAAAGGGCTGCTGGTTATCTTCATCATTTCATGGTGACTTCAAAGGCAACACGTCAAAAGTAGCATTGCGGTTCTTAGCCAAAAAGAGCTCTAGAAGCTGCCTAAGCAGAGGAAATGCTAAGGGATGCATCGCAGGCTCTCACTTGCACTCAGGACATGCACTCTGCAGGAAATTTTGCCTTTTAATTTTTGTTATTTTAAAAAATCCCAAACACCTTCTCTCCCCCAAAACAAGCACCCTTTCTGCAAAGGTTACAAAGTTATCTAGAGACAGATGCAGAGCTGTGTTATGGTGAAACAATCTTGCTTCATGTCCTCCACACAAATTACTCTAATACAATCCTAGGAAAAAAACAAAGGCCATAGCAAAGGCAACTTACTCTCAGGCCACTCTCAGATTTTATATCCATAATAGTCAGCACAGTTTCATACAGAATGGCATTTCCCACATTTTTACTTGTTTCTGTATTAGTGGCAACCTGGAGAAGGAAAAAAAAATAACTTCAATGCATTCAAAGCAGATCCCCTTTGTGCTCTTCTGCAGAACAGGCAGCAAAAATAACCCCTACAAAACAGCATCGCACTTGTGAACATGCATCTCTTTCAACAAAATTTCACTTAGCATGGCAAGCAGCTGTAACCTCAGTGCTGCAGAACCTAAATTATTAAGAAACTAAGAGAAAGTTTAAACCAATCTTCAACCTTGCAGAGCTTACCTGTGCAAGTATATCATTCATTGCTTCACTAGAATCATCATCATTTCTCCCTAAAATTCTTAGTAACCGCAGGATTCGTACCTATTTTATAAAACAAAGCAAAGAAAAGCTTGGATGGCAGTGCTTGATTTGGCATCATAGTGGCAAAAAAGCAAAAGAAGCTGCTGATTTCCACTCTTAAGCAAAATGCTTATGCCAGGTAAGAACTTTATCAACAAAAACAGGCTTCTGCTGTGCTTATTTTCTTCCCACTAGCCAGAACCGTTCAGCATCCCCTCTCCACCAGGCACAGCCTTCCAAAAATCATTAAATGCTGCTTCTCTCTTTTGTCACATAACATGACAACACTACAACTGCTGGTTAAACTAAGGCAGGTGTCATTCACTAGGGCAGATGAACAGCATTTGCACAACCAGCTCAAAGGAAGACCAAAAAAGCCTTAAAATCAACACAGGTAACCACCTTGTCACACCTAAGGCTCAAAACACAGTCCTAGAATTAAAGCTATCAGTCACTGTTTGCATCAGTTCTTACCTGCAAAAAGGGGTCACTGATCCCAGACACATCATGCTCTGGTGAATATCCAGACATGATAAGGTTCTTCAGAATACGAACTAATTGGGGAACAAGCTGTGAAGAAGAGAGTTGTCCTATTAGGGTACTGCTGTTTCCCTGATCCCAGCTTTGAAGCACAGGTCCAAGAACAAATCTTGTATTTGAAAGCAAGTCAGTCTCTGGATTCTTCTGCAAAATTCAACCTGCACACCTAGAGCTGATGCTGTATGAATACCTACAGCTTGGCTAAGACACAACTAGAAACAGTTAAGCTGGGACCAGAGCACCATATTGTGTCTTCAAAGTAGTAAATCTACATTTGTGGTATAGTGTAAGAAGAAAAACAGCCTAGTTTCCCTGTCATCTCCTTTTGCTCCTACCTTTGCTTTTCAGGAACTACAAACTCCTCTGAAAACATGCATTTCATAAAACACACAAAATGAACCCTGAACTTCCTGTATCTCCCTTAAAGAGGGAACGGAAGGGTGCTGCAACATCTTCCCTCCAGACATAGTAGCAGACAAGTGGAGCATTGCTGGAATCCTTATTCATGTTTGCTTTGCCTTCCAACATGTGTGAATTATCAGGACTGAGGACAGAACAAAGGGAAACACTACAGCCATGGAGACTGGTTGAGGGCCAACCCCCCCCACCCCTCCCCGCATCTTCTGGAATACAAATTACACCCATGAAGATTATCAGCACTGCAGTTGGACTGGGTAGCTCTTTGCAGCACAGAAAGCCTTTACAGCCTCTTAAAGGCAGTTAACTGTCTGTCCTGCTCCTTTCTGGGAATCACTCAAAGTTGCCCTATGATTCAGACAAAACACAGAGCCCAGTTTGTGGTAAGAAGAAAGCCCAGGGCTACAACTTGCAAGGCACCAAAAAAAAAAAAAAAAAAATCTATAAAGCATTCCTCAAATGAGGGAAGGCTTGAGGAAAGCAGGCCGATGTCTGCAGAAGGCCACAACTGAGATTCAGGGCTGCCATGGATGTGGAGGTTTAGTGACAAGACCAGCACACAAAGAGCATTAGACAAGTACAGATTATCTAAGCATGTGGCATCAATCACAGCTGTGTCATTCAGAGGTACTGCCTCACAAGGGACAAACGTCTACAGATTCAAGGCAAACATGCATCATCTAGAAAAATTAACTCTTACCTTTTCATTCTAACTCAGCAGGATTCCAAACAGACAAAAGGGACAAAACAGACAAAGCAAGCATTAGGGATAGGTCAATGTTGTACCATTCACAGCATAACAACTACAAGAAATAGCTAGAAAGAGTGCCCCTAGTAACAAAATTTTGTGCACTCAGCTCTTCTCTCTTTTCACAACTATCACATTAACCAAGCAATTAGTAGCAGGGATGGTACCTGCAAAATGAACCTCATCTAACTTCTTTTCCCGCTTTGAAATTTACAATCAAGGCAAGGGAAAATACATGCCAAAATGCTAAGATACACTAAAGAATGTACAGTTTTAAATCTCTAATGATACAGATGAGTCAAGGAAGAAAGTAAATGGGCATGCAAATAAACAACGCCTTTAAGACTTTTCAGAGGAGCAAATGGCTTGCTCTGTTCTACCAACTTTGTTCAATTTCTCCTTCTTTGATCAAGAATTTAAAACGACAATCAAGGCAATTTTCAAATGCCCTTCTATCGGTAGTCTTTCACATGGCAATAATACAGCAAACTATAGCAAACAACATAAGGAAGTCAGGAGGGTGATGGGAAGCAAACATTCCTAACTAGAGGAAGAAGAATGACATTGATTCTCAAACCCTTAAATTAAAATGGAAAATTGTGTAGTGTAGTATACATCAGTCATGAGGTATCTATACAACTAGAATTTAGACTGGTGTTTTTGAACTGAGTGCATATAACTGTGTGGCTGTGGTTAAGGCATTCAGGTGTTGGTATAAGCTTCAGTTTTTCATCTTACTCTCTATGTTTACTTCATTTGTGATTCCAGTGTCACCATGCAATTAGATAGAAGGAGTGAGGAAAAACCTAAGGGACCATCAAAGACAACTTTAAATCTAACTCTAGGATGAGTTTTATACTGCACAATCTTAAGACTGACTGTTTGTAACTTAACCACTTACTGAAGGGGATTAGGCCTAGATACACATGAAATTCCCACACTTAATGATTAAAAAATAAATAAATGATCAAACAGACAGTATCATTAAATTATTCAACCAAACAATTGTAAGGATTTTACTAGAAGGCCATTATTATTAACTTTGCAATATTACCAATTCACACTTACCTTTCTAAAGTGTGCAAGCATGTCTGGGCTTCTCTCACACATCTCTGTGAGGAGGACAACTGATGTGTGAAGAACACCTAAAGGTGAGGGAGGGGGAAAAGAATAATGTATCTCCATTTGACATCATTCCACTGGCTCCAGACATTTGATGAACATCATAAGAAAACAACAGGAAATAATTTAAAAACATTTTTGAATTCAAGTTATTGTATCTAGCACTACAGATACTTGTGCTTGCAGCTGTGTCCAAGGGAAAGCAGATAGCAATGTGCTCCTGCCTTAAAGCTGCATTTAAAGGCCAAGGCAGGAGATAAATTTGATTTGGTCTGCAGAAACTCACATACTAAACATACAGTAATGGTCATAGTTGGGTTACTGACCTCTAAGGTCTCTTCTAAGTCCAACCATTCTATGATTCTACACAAACGTAAGACTCCAGAAGGACATGTGTTAATTGCATTCTGGGTGTCAAGTTCCTCACACTTCCAGATTTTCTCTTCTGATTTGGGTTGCCTAGCTGACCTTCTGTCACCTTCCTCAGGAGGCCTCAGAACTCCATTTAAAGAAACACTACACAAAAATAATACCACCAAACCTAAGAGTCACTTTAGGCAGTGTACAGGATAAAAATCAAACTTTCCTATGTCACCCACTCTGAAGTGTATCAAAACACAATGAAAGAGTTCCTTTTGTCACCTATGCCATGTTAAAGTCCTGTTGACTAGCAGAGTCATACACATCTCTTCCTTCTAAATGACATTTGCATTCACTGTGTAGAAATGGAAAGAAAAAAAATCATACAAATACACCTCTAAAGTTCCCTCCAAACAAGAGGCTTAGGTTGTAAATGCACTATCCTCTAGAGAATGGCCTAGCCTTGCTAAGTACAGTCCCAGCTATTACCATGGTTCTTCTCGTTCAGCAAGTTTTTGGTGGCTGGCAGGAACATTTCCATAAGTTCAGGCACCTTTCTGATGACATGAACAGCGCACAATGCTGCCTGGATAGGAAAAACACTTGTTAGTACACACTGCAATGACAACAATACCTATTTTGGGAATACCTAGCACAGTGGGAACTATAACAATCTGTATGATAAACAAAGGCCTGGCACATTTTTCAATCTCTCTATTACAAGTGTCACTCAACAGCATTCCAAAAGAGAGTTCAATAAAGGGAGAGCACTGAACTACAAACTAATACTCCCCCTAGCAATGGTTCATTTTTACATTATTCACATAAGAAGTGCTGTTATCTGCAAAGCAGCTCTGCCTTTAATAGGGCTACTTCAGCCTGCCTTCCCCTTTCTGGGAAGGAGATAATGCATTGGAAACAAATAATTAAACTTACTGTAAAATTATGGCTTATTTACTTTCTCTCCTTCCCCGAAAAACAACTTCCTCCTGCAGGTGATGGGTGCTATGAGAAATAAAACTACATTTCCAGGGTTTTTTGACAAAACACGTGCCTATTTCTTCCAGGATGGAGAAGCAACAGGAGACACTACTCCTTGCAATTGCTTGACTATCAAGTCCCTCTTTCCAGAACACAGCAAGACCTCTTAGCATTGCTTTCTCTCCAAACTCTCTCTAGATCCAGCACTAGACAAAGAAGTAACAATGCATCTCTTCCTAAAATCTTACTGCTTCACACTCTCGCCAAGACTTATCAATAAATAAACCTAAAAGAATAGGGGTAATCACACTTTGCTGATGCTATGGCACATTTGCTGCAGAAATGAGACAATTTATAAGTGTTTGTCCATTTCAAAACCTTAACCCTTCTAGTTCTCATATTACTGTTACCATCATCAACAGAAGACATCAAATAGGTTCAAATCTTCTGATACCAGCCTGCACTGTTAATAACCAGAGTCTTCTCTTATCTGAGAAGATAAATCAAACTGGTGAATTTTGAGGCTGAGTCCATGAGGGGGCAAATGTTCACATTACTACTAATAACATTATGGGAAAGAGTAGAAAAATAGAAGCAACTGCCTTGCCAATTGGAGGCTTATCTTCTAGAGGCTTACATACATTCCTGCTATTAACATTCAGGGAGTTTTGAGCTCCGTCTTGCACACTGGGAAAATATTCACTCAGTGTGATCTCAGTCATCTAATATTCCAGATATTAGCAAGGCGTTCAATCAATCTTGCCTTTTAATCCATAACAAAGTATTCAAAAGTTTCCTGAAGTACCTTCTTCCTAAGATAGGAATTGGAAGTTTTGAGGAGCTTTTCCACCTCTCCTGCAAGGTCTCTGCACATTTCTGAGGAACCCATGCAGCCAAGAGTACAAAGTGCCAGCCCCTGCACATACTGCGTGCTGTGATTAAGGTCACTGTAAAGGAGAACAAAAAAGTCAATCAGCATGCACACACAGAAATTGAATACACAAGAAAAGGGCATCTACAGCTAGAGTCATCTATCCAGCAACACACGGCCCAAAAGAATTTTCTGGATTCACAGCTCTGTTGAAGCACAACTTGGGAGCAATGGAAGCTTTGAGTACATGTACCACAGGGTTTGCATCTAATTTTATTTAGAATCCTCAATTAAAAAGATAAAATACTTGGTATAACTATCAGGTTGACTTGTCAGGGTATCCAGGGATTGAGCTGAGAAGAGGGAAGACTATACAGAATTCCATTTCAAATGATTTCAGCTTTGGAACTTGCATGCAACGTACAGACCAGCAGTGACACGGTGGGCTGTCCCAGTTTAAAGATGTTCTACAACAGGCTTTAGCTTCTGCATTTAAAAACCAAACAGTATAGAAAAATCTGTGTAAAAGTATTCTCTATCCTGACTAAAAACCACAAACCCCACCACTCACACACCTTGAAAATAATTCATACAAGAATTCTGTTTAGCAATTTTTCCTATTCATATACCTAAGGAAGTTGTGAAAAGTGGTCACTAAAAAGCTAAACTACCTAACAGGAGATGCTATTCATGAGGCTAGCTACAATGTCACACTAAGCACAAGACGACATAGCTTCTACATGGCAATCCCAACAGCCTTGAAATTCAAATTCTACACCACTATTCCTCTGTGTTTGGTACTAAGGTTGCCACAGCACCCAGGATTCAATGCTGAAGAAAATAAAAAATACAGTTCCTGGTTTGGGAGGCAAGGGGAGCTGGGGACTGCAAGATGGAAGAGCTGGGGAAAGAAGTGGTTCTGAACCAAACACACAAGAGGTGTGGAATGCAAAGACAGTATCCTGGTTGTCACATGAAGCAGTTATGGCATCATGCAGATGAAGGAACAGGTAGCACATGCTACTAAATAGGTTGTTTTTTTGTTTCCTTCCTTTAACAATTTTTTGGCAGCTATATAAAGCTGTATCACAAGTACATGCTTCAAGAGGTTGCTTTTCTTCTCATCTCAAAAATCTGGGTCTTGCTACGAAACAGTGAAAAACAGTGCCATAAATAAATCCCTTAACATCTAGATAAAAGCAAGACACAATGGCAGACATAGAAGCTGAAGGAGAAAGCAATATACAACCCAGGAGATGGTAGGAAGCTGTCCACCATTTTTGCTCAGCTTCCATCTGACCCATTGCCAGTTCAAACTCATTACACCCTTACCAAATTCACTGTAGCATAAACAATGAAAAGAGCTGTTAACCTGCAGCCTGGTTCTAATGGAAGCACCTCACAGGTATAGCATTTCAATGAAAGATCTTTAGACAAAAATCTTGTCTTCTGGATGCTACGTTCAAAGCTAGCAGATCTTCAGGCCCACAGCTTTGTCAAGTTTCTTTTAAAGCACTCTGAGGCCACAGTCTAATTGAAGATCAATACTTTACTTGCTAATATCTGAGAGACTTATGTGCTAATAGTATATAATAATAAAAACAGGTACACCACACACAACCTTTGGGTAGGTCAACCAGAACCCAGCTGTTCCATACCTGCTCCAATCCGTCTTGAAAAGAAAACACACTCATCGTCACCCACTAAACTATGATGTAAGAAAGTCCCACTTTAACATTGCTTTGCTGAGAGAAGTATTAAAAAAATAGTCATTCCCGTCCCCTCTTGTCTGATTTCAGCAAAATGACAGCACATCCCAAGCTGCTGCCTTGCTTCCAATGAAAACTATTCATCATGACCATTAGATCTTAAAAAGAAAGCAAGATACATAGCCTTGTTCCTTGACAACTCTTCAGAGCTTGTCAGCAGAAGCAAACACACATAGGATGTGTGTTGCTTGCTACATATGCCTCTTCAAAACCAATGCAATTTTATTCTGTTCCCACTAAAGAAGCTAGACAGGATGGCCCAATACAGAGCACTACTACAACAGTCTTATTATGGTCAACAGCATACAATAATTTCAAGGCACCAGTTTTCTAACACAAGGGAAAAACCCTAAAATACTCTAAGTATCACTGTCAGAAGGATACTTTCTGATACTGAAACCTCAAATCATGGTTTGATGGAGAGGTGGTACCCTTACTTCTTGATGCAATTGGTCATAAGAAGATGAACATCCTGTCTCTCATCCAGCAGCAACATGGCACCTAAATACCCAATGCGCTTGTCTGTGAATTTCTGAGACGCAATAAGCTTGAGGCACTCCAACTGGAAAAAAAAAAAGGAAAAAAAGAAGAAAAAAAGACATAATTAGCTTAAAAACTACTTCTTAGCTAGAGAAGAAACAGTTTGAATTTTGATGTGTAGTAACGTATGTATCTCAGAGTGCACTTTTAAAGGTGTATTCAGTTTCCATTTTGGTGACATGGAAAACCAAGAAAGATTAAATGACCTGCCCAAAGTTCCAACAAAGCCAGGGGGAAGGTCGTTAGCAACTCCGGTGCCTTGAAGTGGCCAGACACTGATGGTCTTCCATGACCTCAGATATACCAGATATGTTGGTTAATGTCAGATCACAAAAGTAAATGATAGCACATTGACAGAGAGGAAAGATACATCAGGAAACACAAAACAGTAAAGATCTGGAAATCTAGATCATGAGTCATGTTTGATATGCACATGAAACTTTTTAACTAAACTTAAAAGGTTCCATTTATCTACTAGGAAGAGGATCAATGCTCTGTAAGCTGCCAAAACAAGGACATGTAGTGATAGGACAAGGAGTCATGACTTCAAATGGAAAAAGGGGTGTTTATTACGATCTGTAACTAACTTGCTAGCTAGGTAAAAAGTAGATTGTCAGAGATAGTTACATTTTTACACTTCTCTGTAATCCCTGGAACACCAGAAGTTTACTAAAACCATGTGCATTCTAGCCACTACAAGTTTCCCTTTCCCCCTGTAAAAATAGCAACTGTGATCAATAGCACAGACAACACACATAGTTTCCAACTGCACTCTGCTAATCTGAAATTTAATTGCCAGCTCATTTTTACATCTGACACTTTGAAAAACAAATACCATCCACCACAGAGGTATTCTGATATTACAATCCACTAAAATAGTTTTCTGTAACAGATAACTAATCAACCATAATCTATGTCTACTTTCCTGACAGGGAAGTAGAGATCTATCCCTCACAAACAATTTCTGTAAGTCTGCTTTACCAGCTGGGGCAGCAAATAAGCATACACACTAGGTCTGAGGAGGGGTCAGACAGAACTGGCAACAGATCCATAGCAAAGGGGGCATGCACAGGCAAAGTTACGAGGTGTCAGGAAAAGGGATTCATGGCTCCAGCTAGACAGAAGCTTGAACAGGTGAGATGCAAGAAACACACACATCAACAAGAGTGAAGTTGCACAGTATATTGGTAAGAAAATTTAAGTTGAACTGCCAGAGAAAGAAAGTGCTATGGCCTAGTCACAGTCCTGCAAGTTCTCATGACCACATGGCATTAGAACACACACTCAACTGTTGACGTTGTTTTCACATGTGAAAGCCCAGCTAGTGCAAGGATGACAAATTGGTAAGAAAAGGCTTGAAAGAAATTGAGTTCAGTCTGCAAGGTTAAATGGGATGAAAACCTTGAATAAACACCTCTGAAAAATAAGACCAGTCCTCTGCAGAGATAACTGAATTCACCCAAATGCCCAAGATCAGCCACAGATAACGTACAGACCACTAGATATCAAGCTCTCACGTTTCCAGCGCTTTCTGTAAAAGAACAATGCACCTCTGAAACAAACTTCTTTCCTGGGTTTATGAGATACTTATACAATCCTCAGCAAAAGCACAACATAAAATTGGTGACACCTAAGCTACAGAGTAAGAGCCAATGAAGGCAAAAGATGAATGACTGAGGAAGAGCATAAGAAAACTGATGACTGCAACAGACACTCTAAGGTACATTTCTAGTACTTTTGAATTTAAAATATATTAGTGAAATTTACCCCATGAAAGGCTGATGAGTTCTTGCTTCATTTGTATAGAAGTACATGCAAACTGGATTAATTCACAGCAATGCTAAGAAAAATGATCAGCTGAAGCTCTTACTAGGTGTAATTAGTGGAAAAAATCTTGATACTGTTAAATCCATTTCATTCAAAGGAACAATTAAAATCTGCTACATCACTACTAGTAACAGATACTACTGGCATGTAACCAGACTACAACTGACCCAACTTTTACAGACATAGCCACTCTTCCAACTGGAATTTTTTTCAAATAGAAACAATGACAATAATAAAGTTATCTGACCATTTGTTCAGGCTGTCTGACGACTTCTATACTTGCACAAATGGCCTTTGCACATGCTCAGGAGACAGCATGCCATCCAGTGCATATCAGCATGCACTGGCTAAACACAGGCTCGTTCTCATACTTGTGTACAAGATATCCCAGGTCAAAGCTGAGGAGCCCTGGGTTGGACAGAAGTAGATCAACCACTCACTCCTGGTTACCCACACTGTTAGATTCTGTCTGCTTACAGCTTTAAGAGAGACTGTAACACCACTTGTGGCTCTCCTGTTTTTCAGCAAAACGTCTTTCCTGCATATACACCTACCATCCTCAGAAGCTTACTGTCTACATTACAGGACTATCTATCTGCAAGACTCCACTGTTGGAAGAGCCTGCGTCCTCAACAGGTCCCCAGCTCACACAAACTACACTCCTATACAACAGTAGCACTTTGAAAGATTCCTTCCAGTAGTAAGTGTTAAGGACATGCAAAGGTCTCTAACTCACTCTCTTGCAGAATATTTGTCAAAACCCTTTTCAGCACTGGGCCCTATGCCCTCCTGAAAATGCAACTGATAAATTACAAGAGAACCAAGGGCACTGAATGAAGTACTCTGCTCTCCAAATAGTCAGAACAGACTCTTCTTTTCAGGATCACAGAATAGTGAGGTTGGAAGAGACCTCTAAGATTATCAAGTCCAACCTATACCCTAACACCTCAACTACACTATAGCACCAAGTGCCATGTCCAGTCTTGTTTTCAACACATCCAGAGATGGTGATTCTACCACCTGCCTGGGAAGAGCGTTCCAGTACTTTATTATTCTTTCAGTGAAAATTTTTTTCCTAATATCCAACCTATACCTTCCCTGACATAGCTTGAGACTGTGTCCTCTAAGATGTAGCAAGCCTGGCAATAACAGATACTGAACAATCTGCTTTAGCTCTCTTTCACTAATGTGAAGTTAGTGAAATTTACCATTACTAGTGAATTTACCATTACTAACCAAAGCAGAAAATGAAAATTTCTGCTTTAGTTAGTAATGGTAAATTAGCAAATTTACTTAGTAATGGTAAATTAAATCATTAAACTAAATGGCAAATTATAATCTTCCTTGGATGGGATTAAGTACTTGAGCAACAAGATAGAAGAATGAAATTTAAATCATGTCCTTAACATAGGCCAAATGCTGAAATTCTAGATGACACTTTTATAACACTTTTCATTATTCTTAAGGCTCCAAGACAATTAATTTTTGTGACAGGAAGTTTCTCCCTTGGACCAGAGAGCCCAGCTATGAAAAGCATTAAGAACAGAACAATACACAACTTCACTTGCTCTTTTTCAAAACTCTTTACCCTGAGAGAAGAATCCAGTAATACAGAAGTAAGATGAGGCACTTCATATGCTATAGCAGAGCCCAAACTCACTAATCCTAACTATATGCAATTTGATTTCACTGGTTTGAGCTTACTGTTTCACTGAGACATATTAGGACTGGTAAATTCAACCACAAATGGACAGACACACAAGACATGAAGCTACTTGAAGGGATACAACAATTTGACTGATTTGACTGATTTAAGCTTTATTGAAGACCTAGGTTAGATTACTACTAACAGGACACTTACTGATTTCTGAGCAAAACTGACTATGCCCCAAAGACTAAGCAAAGCTAACCTGAGGGACACCTTGTAGATCAAGAGCTTCCAACTTCCTTCTCCCTTTCCTAAAATTTCTGTCAAAAATAGCACTTCAAAGATAAGCCAAGAGATGGAAAACTCACACCTGCATTCTCCACATCATCTCACTAAGATGGGGATAAAGAACACCAACTTCTGATTGCCAGGAACAGACCAGCTCTTTTCTGTCTCAAATACATTACTTCATACAGAAATGGGTATAGAGACTCCTTTGAAGTATGTGGTATTTTTCAGAGACAGAACTCCAAGGTGCTATTTTGATCCAATCTAAAAACATCCCTATGTCTTGGACTGTGGTTTAAGCACTACTGCCCAGCAGAAACATGGATGGTGAGGAGGAGACAGTATGGCAAAAGCAGACTAACCTCAAGTTTCAAAACAAAATATGTAAGCCCCAAACAGCAAATCTCACTAATGAAATCTAAACTAACATAGGTTCAGAACATATGTGAAAACAGACCTCAAAACATCCCAAAGGGCAGTAGAACTGCACCTAGGAATGCTCTGAACAAGTTAATTTGCCCAAAACACAGAAGACAGAATGGCTTATGCACAGAAGGCACTAAATTTTAACCTACCTGTCCAAAATGTGCAGGATATCCCAGCATGTGCATATACAGCAGCTTTGCCACATTTCTGCATCGGTATGTGTTATCTTCCTCTCGGAAGGATGACCGGATAGCAGCACATTCCTTTTGGATCATCTCACGCTCTTCTGCCTGGGTTCTTGCTGTCCGGATGGTCCGGATCAACTCCCGCAGTCTGATGGGGGCTGGCATCCTCTGAGAGAAGAAAGAGGTCTGTAAAACTTTTACTGTCTCTAAAGGCTTCATAATGATCTCACACTTTCGTGTATTCTTTTTTCTTTCTTATTCCACAATTATGAAAGTAAAAGAATGAAGAAATGTAGGCTACCTGAGTAGCACGGCTAAGAGTAAACTTGAGAACCTGAGGACTTCACTGTACCTCACATCTGCTCTTCCAGAATATTAGAAATGAGAATAACTCCAATTTGAGCCAGCTGTCAAATGAACATAACGTGGCTCCCTGCCTGAAACAGGTAGAAACAGCACTCTGCAAGGTACTCTCATATTCACATCACCTGCCTCTCTCCAGAAAAGCCAGGCTCCAAAGAGAACTGATCCAGAATCGTGACAGCTTGGGACAGAAATCCTCTACAAAACACAACTCTATTTAACAACTTGCACAAGATTTCATCTAAGTGCTTCAGATGGCCACGCTTCCAAAAATCCCACTAACTTGTGCCATACACACTTCTTAGAAGTGTGGAAATCAGCAGAAAAGCAAATGGAAGAGCAGTCTTAGGTGTGTGGATATTTCAGAGAATCCTGCTTCAAATAAAAATAATCAGGTTTACATCACCCTTTTATTACACCCCAATTAGAACAACCCTTTCTGAAACAAACAAGCCTGTGACATTACTGTCTGGCAGTACGGGTATGAAAGGTATATACAAGAACACAGAGTTGTTTCACCTCATCAGATGGAATACTGATGGAGCCATCTGACCCACAGAGCAATTCAGTCTGCCAAGTTCCTGTTAAGAGGAAAGTGGCTGTCAAACAGAATCCAAACTTTAGGATTTATGTTCAACAGTTGAACTTTTTAGTTCATGCTCACCAAAGCTGACTTACAACTTTCAGGGAGCTCAGACTATCTAAACATCTTTACAACCTTCTTTCATCCATGCCAGCTTGGGAACAGAACTGAGCCCTTCTGTTAAGGTATCAGACCAACTTGTAAGAAGTTGTCATGCCAATCTGCCACAGATTTTGTCTGGGTCACCATTCCCCCTGAACACTGTGTCATACAGTTTAAGCACTGCCATATAAGAAAAAGATGTGCATTCAGGTGCTGCACTTAACTGGCTTACATGATACCACTGAACAGAGGTCTGGGACACAGAGCTAACAGGGGACTTCTCTGCTTGCAGAAAAGCAGAGAGAGATGCATGTACAAGTAAAGGTGGCCTTACAGTAAGCCAGACAAAGGCAGCTCCAAGTCCCGATTACAAACTCATACATATACTAGGCCTCTTCAGCCAAACCATGTAGACTCTTCATATTTAAGTTCCCCATCTTCACACTTTAAAAAACTTGGATTTACAGAGACACAAAGCATTCAGTTTTGAAAGTGGAAGAGATATTCTTCCTGCATAAGGAAACTTTGTCCCAAAATGCTGACATGTGTAGGATCAAGACTATTGGACACATTAATCCTTACTCTTGTCTTGTCTCTCCATGAGAATTCACAACATTTCCTCACATTACTGTGATATGAATAAATTAATGGTTGCTATGCACTCATGCTGCACTAACAAGCATAACAGAAATAGTCACGGAGAAGTAAGAAATCCATCTCCAGAACAAGCCCTTCCAAGACCACTACCTTTGCTGCCATGCCTGCATGTAATACAGTTCTGCATCCTTTCTCAAGGGGAATGTGGCACTCACATTCTCTGAAAAAATTCCTTCGCTCAGGATTTTTCTCCGGGGAAGCTGAGAGGCCTCAGAGAAAAAGGAAAACAATTCTTATCTCATTTGCTTCTCCTGCGTGGAATGTGTTTGGAGATTGTTTACCCAAAGGTGATTGCCTCATTGGTCTCCAGTGCGAGTTGTTTTCACTCACTGGCCAATTGGGGCCAAGCTGTGTCGAGACTCTCGAAAGAGTCACGAGTTTTCATTATTATCTTTTTAGCACAGAGTAAGTATCTTTTCTGTATTCTTTAGTATAGTATAGTATTCTCTAATATACTATAGTATTATAAAGTAATAAATTAGCCTTCTGAGAACATGGAGTCAGATGCATCATTCCTCCCTGCCACGGGAGTCGCCTGCAAATACAATAGGGGAAGAAAAGCAATATGCTACACGTAGCACTTAAGGGGTAGATGCAATATTGATGTATTTATAGAAAATGCCTTCTATTTTTTTGCCTCACTATTATTTTCCTGAAAATTAGTAACACTCTGTGGAGTTTTGATTGCAGTAAAGTGCTCAGCTTGTGTTTTTCACAACAGTATTGTAAACGCAAAAAATCTCTTTCCTAGGTGGCAACTGTCCATGTTAAGTGCTGAATTTTTAAGCCTAAACTCATCTACTATACACACATACCACATAATTCTAAATTGATCTCGATAAGCCACATTCTTGTTGGAAAATTGGGCAGAAGTTACAAAGATAAAAGTGCTACTGCAGAAATATTCCTCTGCAGCCCATAAGCAATAATTTCATAATCACTAAGATCCCTCATGTGCAGGCTCATGCTGAAAAAGGCGAGTCCAGTCCTTCCACAGTGTTCACACCAGCATTCCAGGCACAGTGCACCAACTTGCGCATGCAAAAAACAGCTTGCTCCCTTCCTCCCAAAATCAGTCCCCAGACACATCAGTCTGGCTTGTGCATAGACAGACAGCACTGAGAACATGCGGCTTTGGGAGACCTCAGTTGGACTGCAAAGGAGGTGAAAGGTTCACTCCAGCATGAATCCACACTTATGCTATGGCTCTGCATCCTAATTAAGCTTATCTACAACACTGCTGCTCCTGAGAAGATAAGCAGTGGCTACTACTAGTCTAGCTATTACAACCATGACTGACTCCTTTATTTTAAAGGAAGCGTTCTTTACAAAATTTTTGAAACACTAATACATAACCTGCAAACAAACTGAGTTTTGCCAACAAATTGTTTTGATACCACAAGCTGTTTTGTTCTCCCTCTGTATCTGAAGGTTTATAAATTGCTAAACACTGATATCTGCAGCCTGTGACTTGTACAAGCCCACTCCTTCCCTTGCCAGTGGAGCAAAAACTTTCGGTAGGTATGCCAATGGAAGGCTTCAGCATCTTAAGCCTGGCCCCGGACAACAGAAAATAAAAGCAAATACTGCCTAAATAGTTTTGGTCAATGGAAAAACAGAATTCAACAAGGTTACTATAGATGTGAAATACAACTTTTTATGAATACTTTTTTTTCACCCCTCTCCAGTGTTTAGGCAGGACTTCCTGTCTCACCAAGAAGGCAGGTAAAATGACAACAAACTGAAGATCTAACATCATTCAGATACTGAAAAAAGTGAATAGTCAGTATTTACAAATGCCCTTGCATAAATAAAGAATTAGCAAGGCACACTGTAAAGATTTTTTTTCTCCTCACTTCACAATCACAGGAAAGCAAGGAGAACCAGCACTTCAGAAAGCAAGGACTGAGGAGTAAGACCCAAAAACCAATTTCTGAGGCTTCCTGCTATTCTCACTTGTGTAACAAGTAACACAGTTACACAGTCTAACCTGAAGGACTAAGAGCAACTGTATCTCACACACCCACTTCCTGCCTGGTGAGAACAGAAAAATTCAGAACTGCTCTGATGGAGGATTACAAAAGGACAAAAGACAGAGCTGTGATTTATTTTCCAATATTCAGAAAAGGCACTTCTAGCCTTGTGCTGCAACTACATACTTCTTTTTTAGTCAATATCAAATCATTCAGCTTTTAATATACCTTTGAATCCGTCCCATATAAAAGGTTTTGCATCCATCTATGTAAAATAGCATCTGCCCCTCACAAATCACTATACATGTTATCCTTGAAACTCGAGTTCTTCTTGTGTACACTCTTCCAGTATTTCAAGACAGTGTAATTCCCATGCAATGTAGCATATTGTGTTTTCTTCCCCTCCACAATAAAATGTTCTCTTAATATCAAAAATTCTTGCATCAGGTACCTGTTCTTTGCCTTCAGTGACTTTAAGATTCTTCAGCATGCTAATACATTGGAAACCTCATCACATTTTTGAGTTTCAGACATTTCAAGTAAGCATAAGCAGTAGTTACTGCAGATGAGAAGAAACTTTGGACATGAGAACACTTAAATTGAGAAACATTACAGAAAAGATTAACATTTACCTAGTCTCAGCAATTCCTAAGCCTATTATAATGCCAACAGACCTTTACTGCAACAATGGGAGGATAACTGTATCATCTAGCAACAGCAGACAGTGGAGCTTCACTTTAGCTGGTGCCTAAGCGCTCCTCAGAACTTCCTCCAAAGTAGCAAATCTTGTTCTTCAGGATTAGTTAACATTTTTCACCAGTACAAACACATCCTTTTATTCTCTGCACATCAACATAAACGACAAGGCAGTTTGGAGAAGTTGTTGCCTCTTTCCTCCTTGGGCTGAAAACAGGAGTTTCCTTCACATTTCTTTGCTAACTACACGCTCCAAAAATGAGGGATGATTTCTGAATACTTGAAAAGAGCCTACTAGTTAACATTTACAATATGTGGTAGTGTTGCACACAGAATTCTTCAGCCTTATCAGATCGCTTTCCCTCTTCTAATTTCAAAAGCCTTGCTCCTTAGAAGAACATACTATCAAGATCCAAACTTCTGAGAGAGTCAGATACCTAATTCAGATTAGTTCAAGTTGTATAGGTGGCTGGTGTTTAAGTTCCTTAGAAAACAGAATTCCAGCTTCTTTCCTGAAATCCAGCGACTAGGAAAGGTGTTGCCCCAGTAATCCTGCTCCCTCTGCTATTCAGGAATCGTTCCCATGAACTAATAAAAAGGCATTCTCTCTCTTTGTGTAACTCATTCCTACTGTACAGAAGTGAAAAAAAAAAACCAAAAAAACCAAAAATCTTCATGTATTACACCATTTAGTTTTCATTTAAATTGTACTGATAAATCTCTGTTTTCTCCTCTTTATGATCTGTTACTAGTGAAGCTTGTCAAGTTTGAAAGTTAAAGATTTTATTCAACAGGCCATTGTACCAAAAACATTTGAATATAGACCTTTACCAGAAGTCTCTCTTAGAATACAGTCACATTCAAATATGATGGGTCACCTTTTATATTTACAACACACACCTAATATTACCAAAACCCACCTTGAAAATGCTCAAGTGCTATAGTTAAGCCTTATTCCTCTATCAGGAATTGCAGAGTAAAGACAAAGGATAGTCCTTAAACACTGAGTTGAGAACATGTCCTCTGGAAACTATTCAGAAATGTTAGCTTACGTCTAAAATATCCTATGTGTTTCTAAGACAATAAAATTTTAAAAATTAACGGTTGTTTTAAAACTTCTTTAGGACAAATTATCAGACATTTAACATTTTAACATTCCATTATTATTTAGCCTTGCATTCTGGAAACATTAAGACATAAAGGCCATCAAAATTAATGAAATTCTTCACAGAAGAGATCTACTGTTTGGGAAATGGTCTGTATTTTCAGTTGTGGTGATATACACACCAAGTTACAGCTTTTCATGTAAGTAGCATTTCAGAACTTGGTTCTGTCTAGTAAACACCCCAAGCCTGAAGCAGCATAGGTTTCAAACACATCTAAAACACACAACTCCAGCTGCTCCACCCCAACACATGCATAAGCAATCACACTCCTCAAGGAACCCCAGCTTTTGGGAAGTTACACAACTAAAGCCAGACCAAACTCCCAAATGAAATCAATAGCAGAACTCCACTACTTGCTTAGGTGCAACTGAATCCAGCCTAGTACACACAAGAGCAGAGGATCTGTCCAGACTCCATGAAAGGAGTAATTGCAGTGCTGACACCCAACACTGATGGCTGCAACTCCTCCTTGCTATCAGTAGGCTTCCCACTTCTATCAGACACTTAAAAAGAAAAAGATATTAGCAGTAAAACTAAAAACATACTCTCCAATTAGAAATGAGGGTGTCAACAAATGCAGAGATATTAGTATATGATCTCGTATTATCAATATTTATACAGATAACAGTAAATATTAAATTATTATGACTATTTATACAATAAACACCAAAGCAAGGAGCACCATCATCATCAAGAAGGGCAAAGGCAACACAAACAAGTTGAGAGTAAGAGCAACTAACCATGTAACATGCTAAGTGGGACAATCTCTCATGAGGAAAAAGCTATTGAATGCAACAGAGAACCAGAAAGCAACATCAGAAAACAATTAAGTCAGCAGGAAGCTTCAAAATGCATTCTCATAAGAAAAGGCATCACAGTTACACGTAGCTTTACGTGGAGACAGCTGGAGGAGAGAAGGGGAGGTCAAATAAGAAAAAAAGTATCCCAAAACAAAGAGTTTAAAAATAGTCTTGGAAGAAGAGATGGTCCCACTTCTAGTTATATTGAAAAAAAACCAAAACACAGCAACAAGAAATGCAGCACAACAGTATTCAAGAAGCAAGGCTCAGTGCTGCTCAAGAGCTGAGAGGAAGAGGAGAGGCAGGACAGCAGGACAGAAACTGAGGACATTGCACAGATCCCACCCAATCCCACTGCCAAAAACTGCAGACCCCTTCCCACTCCCTGCTGACTGAGGAGCACAAATCAGCACTTTGGATGAGGTGTCCCGTTCCTGCACAACTGCACACATACATCAAATGCAGCAACTCCTGAACTGCCTTCAAAAGACACACTGAGCTCCCAGTCAGTACAAACATTAACCTCAACAACTGTCAAAAAAGAAAATAAATATCTCCCTATTTTTTAGAGGCTAAAAAATGTAGGAAGAAGAATTAGCACAGCTATATAGCTGACCACCATGACAGATACAAGCAGAATTCCAGATTTTCTGGCTTCTGTTTCAATACTTCAATCACCACTGACCTACACTATCTTATCACCTGCTTCTAATTTCCTCACTATTTCAATCTATGAGGTACTCTGGCTATTTTACTTCCTGTTCACTTTCCTGCAGAGTTAAACTTGAAATAACAACAAAAGAGACACTAGATTGTCACAAAAAAACCTCCAAAAAACCCTACACCCTTCTATGTCCTAGCTAATGCCAGAGGAAAGACAAGATGCCACATTTTTACATTCATCAATATGAACTTTACAACAGGCCACATAACTTCAGCAATGCCCTAGGAAGTTATAATCTTTTATTTCATTTGTAGCATTTCTGCCAAATAGCAGATATAGGCTGCAGTAATAGCTCTGATATCAGCAGATTCACTTGTACTCACATTACTATAGCTCTGGTTTTTGAGCTACAGCCTCATCATATGTTTAATTAACTCCAAAACTCCTCCAGTGAAGTAATGCTCCTACCATGGCAGAACAGACCCTTTCCCCAAAGAACAGCTGAGTATCATCTAGAACACATGAGCGTCACCTGCATTCAGAAGAAATTGCTCTATCATTAAAAAATGCAATGAGATCAAACAACCCATCAGCTGCAGTTATACAGGGCCAGCTCACAAACACAAACATTCACCCTGGAGAGGCGTAAGCAGCTTTACTGCGTGCCATCATTTCAGCAGCAGTAAAGGTTCGCGTGAGCCCGCACACTTGGGAAGCCGACGTTCCAACCCTGAACTGCGCTAACCAGGGGGGCTCTGGGTGCCTGAGAACAGCCAGCCTGCACTCCTGTGCCACTGCCCACGACCTTCTCACACCATGGCCTGACACACTCACCAATCTCACTGCACAGCCACTGCGAAACGTGTTCACCAAGAATCAGAACATTTCTGTCATCCCTTAATCTCTCGCAGGACACCACAAAGGTACTACAGGATCTTTCCATCTCTACCATGCCACCTTCAGGAAAACAGATCAGCAGTTACAGGAACAGAAAAAAAAACACAACAAAAAAGGAAGAAAATAAAAGCTTTTTTTAATCATAAAAGGAGGAAATCAGAAAGTTGTCTTACACACTGGAAACACAAAAGCTGGATCCCTTCACAAAACAATTAACCAAGACTTACTTTCCCCTTCTCAAGAAACAGGAATTTAAATACCTTTCCTCTCCTTCTCCTAGCACAGAAGACTGAAAGGGCTCACAACAACCTTCTCAGAAAAAAACCACAAAATCTCCAGCCTTCATTCAGCTCTCAAGTACCCAACAAGTTTTCAAATCCTGTGCCAAACACCAGAAAGCACACGAGTAAACAGAAGAAAGAATTTGGCAACAGAATATGACATGCAAACACAAACAAAGGAAAAAAATACCAAGTGTAGTTTAGAGGAGTGGTAGCAGGGAAACGGGTACAAAAAGCTGTTGTGCTCTACCACACAGAAGTGAATCCCAATAAAAAAAAAAATGGGGAAACAAAACAGCCCAAATTCCTCTGCCATTTTAAATGTAGGGTGCTAGGAGAATCCCTAAAGGATTCCCCTGCATTTATAGAGGAAAACACACATACATTTTACTGTTTAAGCCACTATGGAGTAGACACTTTTTGGCCACACATGTGACACTTTTATCCTTTCAAAGATGTTCCACTGGGATTCTATGCTGTCCCGTTAATATTTCAAGCATCAGAAACTTAAATTTTTCGCACAACATTTTTACACATCACTTTCAACACAATAAAACACACACCTGTTCCACCTGTTAACTTTAAAAACAATGTCTGCTATAAAATAAATTACAATTTATCCTATAGCTGGTGCGAGAACTCAACCACCCTTGAAGAAGGGACTTGAAGGTGCCCTTACAGACAGCAGCTCACTGCAAATACATTTAGCCAGACCGAACATCTCCTGCTTCCATTAAAACCCATGGACGGTAAGTAATGCAGACGCTGTAATACTCGGACCGCTTGTACAGCCTAGGCAATAAGATACCGAGAGAAGGACGGGCACAAGTCCCGACTTCTCCCAAGACAGCACCGGCCACAGCATGAAGCAGCTCCTCAGGTACGCGCTCCCGCTCCCGCTGCCCCCGAGCTCCGGGAACGGGGGCCGAGGCAGAACCCGCACCGCCGTCTTCCCGGCAAAGAACGGCCAGGGCAGGCACGGACCGCTCCCGGCGCCCGAGCAGGACGCCCCGGGGCGCAGGGCAGAGTTCGAAGCGGGCCGGACAGCCGCGCAGAGGCAGCGGCGCCGACAGAGGCGGCGAGAGGGCAAGGGGCGGCCTCGCGGACAGGGCGGCCGAGGCCCAGCCGCGGAGTTCGGGGCGGACAGGGGCCCCAAGACTCGCGGGGCCCCAGGCGGCGGGACCGGGAGGTCAGGGGATGCCCGGCCTGGGCAGCGGAGGCCCGAGTCGGTCCCACTCACCAGGCCGGTCCCTGCAGCAGCAGCGGCGGACGGAGCCGGGCATTCAAAATGGCGGCGGCGCGGCCGCAGCACCGATACCGCAGGCGGAGGGATCCGCGCGCCGGCTCGGCCCCGGCGACCCCGCAGGCTCTCCCGACCGCGGGTGGGAGCGCGGCAGCGCCGGATTCGGCGGGAACGGGGCGGGGATGGCGAGAGCGCGGCGCAGCACCACCGACGGCGGAACGGAAAATGCCGCTTGCACTACTTTTCTTGGCGGAAGCGCCCGTGAGGTTGGTCTTACACGGCAAGGTGCGTCTGCACCGTGGCAGCCCCTGATGACGTCACGCGCGGGCCGGTCCCGGCAGCGCGCTCCCCACGGCGGGGCCGGGCGGGACCCGTAGCCCGTGTCCGCGGTTCCGCGATCGAGGCGTTCCGAGGCCGGAGGGGCGCAGCCGCTCCGAGCCCGCCGAATCTCGCACTGTTTAAACGTCCACTGGCGACGGGGGGAACGCAGTGTGCCGCAGTAAACGAGGCGTCTCTGGAAGAGGGTACAGAGCCACCCCCGCCCCAGGCAGCTATTCTGTTCCCGCTTCCAGGACCTTATGTCACATTAACGATCACAGAATGACGAGGAGCCCGGTCAGCAGCACGGAGCCGGCAGGACACTGCGGGAGTGCGAGACAAGGCACGGACACGTTCAGACCGAAGGTTCCCGCAGGGGAGCCGGTCCACGCTGCCGCTAGGCCCGCGCTGCCGGCCAACCTCTGAGAGAGTCCGTCTGGGGCGCGGGGCCAACAAAAGCCGCGCGGTGCCGCCGCCAGGTGACTCGCGCTGGGCGGCCGGGCCCCGGGCACGTCCCGCAGGCCGGGCCGCTCTGAGCCCCGAGCGGACGCAGCTGGTTGCCACGGCAACGGCGCCGTGGGTGCCCCGTGACGCCATCCGGGTGCGGCGGAGTCACGACCCCGGAGCAGTTCCGGCGGCCGGTGTGCGCGTCATTGACATGCGCGCGTCATCGCCGTGCGCCACGGGTGGGGAGGAGCCGGTCCGGGCGCCGGGCGGGCCCGCGGGGCCGGTCCGGGCCATGGCGGGTGAGCCGCGGGCACCGGGCGAGCACCGGGCGGGCCCGCGGGACACGGCGGGGCGGGGGGCGCGGCAGCGCGGCCGGGGTTTTGGGGCCGGGGTTGGGGGCGGCGACCGGGCTCGGGCGTCTTCCGTCCCCGCGTTCCGACCCCGGGCCAGGGGCCGTCGCCGTGCCCGTTACCGGAGCCGGGGCTTGGGCCGACCCCCGTTCCCGAGGCTAGGACTCACGGCTCCCTCTGTTCCTGGCGCAGGTGAGGCGGCGGCCGGCGGCGCGGATCCCGGAGCCCGCGCGTGGCAGCCCCAGTGGGTGCCCCCATGAACGAGCGTCGCGGCCGGGGCTGCCGGGACACCGCGGGGCGCCATGAGAGCGGGCCACGAGCGCAGCCAGGAGTGTCTCCCGCCCAAGAAGCGGGAACTTGCCGCCGCCAACACTGGCACCGAGGCGGGACGGGCGGGGGGAGCCCAGGGCTCGGGCGAGGGCCCCGAGTGGGCCCGCACGGCTCGGCCGGCTCCCGCCACACCGCGCTACAGTCCTGGCGAGGCCCCCGAGGCGGCGGCGGGGCTGACGGTGGACCAGTACGGGATGCTCTACAAAGTGCAAGCACCGCCTGCCACCTTCTCCCCCACGGGCCTGCACCCCGTGGTGAACGTGAGCCCCCTGCCCCCCGCCTTCAACGTGACCTCGCCCATCATCCAGCACCCGGCCGTGCCCTTCCCCTCCATCCACTATGCACAGATCCCTTCGGCTTCCCTGCAGCTCATCGGTTCCCACTACACAGTGCCCTATGCCGTCCCTCCTGCCTTCATGCCTAGTCCTCTGCTGTCTCCTTCCACCAACCTCACTACCCCCCACGTCCCCCACTTCGTGCCATATGCCTCCCTCTTCACGGAAGAAGCTGCTCCTTCCCCCCAGACTACCTCTCCCACCCACAGCTTCAACAAATCCACCTCTGCAGCCTCTCCTGGGCAGATTCAGCACCACACTGTGCCCCAACCAGTGGACATGGCACCAGGGAGAATTCCTGTTTATTATCAGATGTCCCGCTTCCCACCAGGCTATTCAGCCTATGAGGCACCTGTAGCAGGTGGGAGCCCAGAGTCTCCTCAGCAAGACAGTCAGCTGAGCTCAGAGGTGGCTGCGGCCAATGGTGGGCAGAGGCCCCTGGAGCAGAGTGTGGCCAGGAGGCCCAGCGAGGCTGTGGACTCTGCCAGCAGTGCAGCTGAGGACTGTCTGCCCCCAGGGGCTGCAGCAGGATGTGTGGCTGATGGACAGTTCCTTCCAGGTTACCAGATGCTGGGAAGAGAGATCTCTGTGCCTACTCACAGGAGCACCCCAGATGCTGATCTGGAGGTTCAGAGAGTGGTGGGGATGTTGGCATCTCAGGATTATCATGTTCTGGCTGCCCAGAGGAAAGATGACCCAAGCCCTTTGAACCTTTGCCATAATACCCCTGATGGGCAGGGAGACATGCTGAGGAACACCACAGACAGGGCTGCAGCTGGGAACAGCCAGTCCCGGAGCCCATGTGGAATGTCCCCTGAAGAGACTGTTAGACAGAGACAGTTAGCCAAAGGAATGGTGATAGCCAATGGCAAGCCAGTGCTTGTTCCCGTTGGATCTGAGCCTGTCAGGTCTTCCACTTCAGAAGCCCTGCTGAGGGAGAGCCCAGATGCCCAGGCTCAAGGAAACGTGCATGAAAAGGAGCTGGCCCAGTTGCAGCCACCCAGCTCCTCACAACTGCCCTCTCACTTCATGAAAGGAGCCATCATCCAGCTGGCGACGGGAGAGCTGAAGCGGGTGGAGGACCTGCAGACTCAAGACTTTGTTCGCAGTGCAGAGGTGAGTGGAGGCCTGAAGATCGACTCCAGCACTGTGGTGGATATTCAGGAAAGCCAGTGGCCTGGGCTTGTCACACTGCATTTTGTGGTTGGGGAGCAACAAAGTAAAGTGAGCATTGATGTGCCCCCGGAGCATCCCTTCTTTGTGTATGGCCAGGGCTGGTCCTCCTGTAGCCCCGGGAGGACTGCTCAGCTCTTTGCTTTGCCCTGTCACAGGCTGCAAGTGGGGGATGTCTGCATATCAATCAGTTTACAGAGCATGAATGGCAACTCTGCTTCTCAGGCCAACTCCCCTCTCACGGATCAGCTGGTATCTGCTAGGGAGAGATTGGAACGAACAGCTCAGGGGCCCAGAGAGCCATCTGACAGAGCTGCTGAAAGGAAGAGCCACACAGATAGAACCAGCACGGCCCAGAGCTCCCGTGCAGAATCCTCTCAGACTGAGGCTGGCAGTCTGTACAGTTTGGCCCCAGGCTTCCAAAGATACAGCATGCAGGCAGAGGAGCCTCGGCCCTCTCTGCTCCGTCCCTCTTTCATTCCCCAGGAGGTCAAGCTGTCTATTGAAGGGCGTTCAAATGCAGGGAAATGATCCTTTAGAGGTGTGAGCTAGGGCAGCCGCAGCAGGTGAGCCTCACCATCAGGTGGAGGAATTGCACAGACTCTGTCATAGGCTCACCAACAAAGGCTGCTCTCTGCCTTGCAGGAATGGCTCCGTTCCAGTTCCACGGCTGACCAGTTCCTCTTGGGGAGTCAGGAGGCCTCCAGTGCCTCAGGGAGCAGCGATGGGCTAGCTGGGGTGGGGAGCAGGGATGTGGTCATGAGTGTGTGATGAGAGCATTCCAGAGGCTGCTGGAGGCTGGGGCTTTCTCCCACCTCCTGGGATAACTGACTCCCTGCGGGGCAGGGGCCGAGCATTCGGGGCAGATAGGGAGATGAGGAGGACAGACTTGGCTTAAGGTAGCAGATAAAATTGCTGAAGATTTTATTTCTCCTTTCTCATGATGGGGAGAGATGGGTCCCCACTGGAGTTTGGGGGCTCTGCTCCCAGTATCCCCTTTCTTCACACATGCACTTTAAAAGGACCGTTCACCGATGGAGCTCTCATGGGCAGGATGGAGGTGCTTCTCTGGTGGTTCTGATTAATGTCTCTTCCACTGAATCCAACTGCTCTTTCTTCTTGCAAAGAATGTACAGATTTGAATGAATCACAGAAATTCAAGAGGAAGGACCAAAAGGATGGGCTTGGGTGCAGGTGAATAGGGAGCTTGAGCACTTGAGATGGGACACAATTTGGGATGGGAGACGTTTCCTGCTATAAAGTCTACTTAGTTGTTTTGCCACCAAATCAAACCTTTCTTCCCATGTTAATAACTTTCAAAAAAAAAACAAAACCCTCCTGGGCTTACAGCTTTTGCAGAGGCTTAGCCTAGGGATGAGTGGGGTTAGATTTTTTTGTTTGGTTGAATTTTGGTTTTGGTTATTTTATTGGTTTGGTGTTTTTATAATCTGGAGCAAAAATATTTTATTGGTTTATTGTTTTTTTAATCTGGAGCAAAATACATTCAGCGTTCTCTAGGGAAGGTTGAAAACCTTCTTCTTCTGTGAGAACACCAATGCTATTTTGTAATTAAGTCAGAAAAATGTTCCAGATGGCTAGTTCTTCCCTGAAGGCAGTTTCCTGAATAAGCTCTAGACAAGAGACAAGTGTTTGTGCACGTGCAGGCTAGGTACAAAGTTTGTGCTAAGTACAATTCTATTATTAATGTACGGACCTTAAAAATATCATAGTGTTACAGGGCATTTTGGAGTAGTTTTGTGTTAGTTTTTCTGATGCTTCAATTCAGAGTTCCTCTGTAGAACAATATGGTCAAATCAAGAGTATTCTTTTTCATGGTGAGATTTAATACAATTGTGTATGAACAGCTGATTGTGGTGGTAACACTATTGAGTGAAGTCTCCTGTAGTTACACTAATCTGCCCTCTCTGATGGTGTGTTATGACACCATTGCTCAGCTAGGATAAAGAATAGTCACTGTTCTGGTGACAAAAGAGTCTTCACTGGCTTAACCTAGATAGGGTATTCCTTGTGTTCAGGTGCCCATCTCTGTGCTAGGACCAGGCTCTGGAGGGGGCCTTTCTTAGTGTGCAGAGTCCTGATGTTCAGCATGCTGTTTCTGTCACCCTGCTCTCATCTGCCTGAAATTTGTCAAGTGTGCCTGACTCTTGGGGTGCCACTCCTCTCTGTCACAGAATGGTGTGTGTCAGCACCTCTCCTTGCAGTGGTGCTGTCTCAGGGCTGTTCTGCACTCCCCAGGAGTGTGTCCTGTAACTGGTTGGCTTCTGCTGACTGTGAAATGGATGCATGCTCTGCCTGTGCATTAGGCAAGTTAGTCTCCAGAATGTCCCTTCCATCCCAGCCTCAGTCCTGTTTTCCTAGCACATTGCTAGCCATTTCTGTTGCCTTTAAAATGCCTGCACCAGGACAGGGCTTAGGTGAGATATGTGCTAAACATGCCCTCAGTGTTTGTGCCTCACAGGGTTCTCCAGAATGAGGATGCTGCCTGTATCACATGTAGCTGCTCCCAAATGACACACTACTTTGGTTTCATCAGCTGCATTTGGGATGTGTGAAGTCACAGTGACACTGTTGTGTGAAGATTCTGCCTCCTCAGGTGCAGCAGCTGTGGGAACAGATGCTGTTTTCACAAGCCCATTTGTCAGTGAAGTGTCCACCTGGGCCCCTTTGTCACCTGGGGGTGTCACAGCTCCTGCTGACTGGACTCTCCTACATAAAACTCTCCATTAATGCTGGTAATTAGTACTTAATGCTCAGGATATCTGAGGTGTCTGTCACCAAAGGCAGGAGGCAGAGGAGCCCGGGTTCTCGTGCCTGTTCTATGCACGGTGCATGCAGAGGGATTCAGGGCTGCAA